CCAGAGCTCTGACCCCTGTGACTGGCCAAACAATTCTAATTCCCAGGTGGGTCTAGTGGAGCAGAAGCTTTGCTTTCAGATGGCTATGGGGTTGCCACCCTTTTCTTGGCACCCTTCTTCTGCCTCACGCCCCCAGGGGGTCTGGCAGGGAGGAGGGGGACACATGCCTGGGAGGGGCATATAGATTCTGCTGTGTGGGCAGTGGGGACGCCCCTGGCTCATTTTGATGCTGCCCTCTCATCAACTGCTGCATGAGGATGGAGACTTAGGTTGGTTACAACCCCCTGGATGTCTTGCATCTTATAAAATTGTCCTTATTTTGTGGTGCTAGGCATGGAACCCAGTCTCACACATACTAGCCAAGTGCTCTACCACTGAGCTACACCTGCAGCCGTACATCTTAGATCTATCTAGGGATCAACCTGATTCCCCCTCTCTCCCCAGAGGTCCTTATTCCAACTCCCAGCTCAGAGTTGGAAAGCAGTTTTCCTGACAGTCTCTCTGCCCTGTTCCCCTGAGCCAGGGAAGTATATGCTTCCTGGGAAAGCATGAGCATGGGTCTCCCGTGCTGAGTGAGAAGCCCCGCTGGCTGGCTGCAATCTCTTCTTGCTGTGCCACTGCTGCATTGCTCCGCTCAGGGAGCCTCTAGAGCCTGCTGTACCAAAGCCACTAAACACACCTCTAGTCAAACCATTGTGAGGACAGCCTCAGGAAGTCAGCTGGGTTTCTGTCATCCTTTCCAGTGCTGGCACTTGGCAAGGCCTACCCAGTGACACAGAAGAACTAACTGGGAGAGCTGTCATGTAACAGGAAACTTTGTTTCCTTGACTGGGTGAAGGAGGAAGGCGTCCTGGGGCCCCTTCCCTTTCTGGCAGTTTTGGAAAGCCAATTCTGGGCTAAGTTGCTTCTTCTGGCTCTTTCCCCTCTCTAAGCAGTTCAGGGCTTGGAACACACATCTGTCTGACAGGTAAATGGCAGGGCAATGATGTCAGCCTCAAACTATATTCCAAGGGCTCTTACTTCTCCTGGGGCAGCCATTCTCTCACCTATCTCATGCTGTCACACTATGGCACTGCACTCTTAATAACTGCCTCCAACTCTGTCCCATTAATCAACAGACAGTGAGTGCACAGGTATCCATTTGACACATTGCAGCACCTGCCAGATAAGAAGGGTCAGGTTCCTTGGAACAGGAGCTGTGGACAACAGTCTACAGGGCAGAAACATCAGTTTGATGTCCAGTTATAACTCTAGTCAGATCCCTGCCTTATGCCTTTTCTGAGGAAGAAAGATGTCTCATTAAGGTGGGCAAGAGAAAACCAAACACACTTTACATGGTAGGTAGGAGGAAAAGAGAGAGATACAGCCCAGGAGACAGAACTGGAAGATTAGCAGGGTGCTGGTGGCTCACGCCTGTAATCCTAGCTACTTGGGGAGTCTGAGATCAGGAGGATCATGGTTTGAGGCCAGCCAGGGCAAACTGTTTGTGAACCCACTCCCACAAAATCTCAAAAATAACCAGAGCAAAAGGGACTGGACATGTGGCTCAAGTGGTAGAGCACCTGCTTGGCAAGCATGAAGTCCTGGTGGGCGCTGCTGGCTCACGCCTGTAATCCTAGCTACTTAGAAGGCAGAGATCAGGAGGATCATGGTTCAAAGCCAGCCTGGGCAAACAGTACATGAGACCCTATCTTGATAAAAAAAGGCCTGGTGGAGTGGCTCAGGTGTAGGTCCTGAGTTTAAGTCCGAGTATGTACTGCAAAGGAAAAAAAAAAAAAAAAGCATGAAGCCCTGAGTTCAAATTCCAGTTTCACATAAAAAAAAAACCACCCCACAAAAAAACAAGGGAATTGACAGATTAGTTCTTCACCTGCTGTTTTCAAATGTCATTTTTTTAAAATTATTTATTTTTGTGGTACTGGGTTTGAACTCAGAGTTGTACCTGAATCTTGCCTCCATCCCTTTTTGCTTTAGTTATTTTTCAGATAGTGTCTCACACTGTTTGCCTGGACCATGATCCTCCTACCTATGCTTTCCACATAGTTGGTATTACAGGCTCACACCACCATGTCCAGCTCATTGGTTGAGATGTAGTCTCATTAACTTTTTTGTCTGGACTAGCCATGAACTGCAATCTTCCTCTCTCCACTTCTCAAGTACTTCAGATTCCATGTGTGAGCTACCACACATGGCATCACTCACTTTTTATAACCCTTCATGAATCTTAGACTAATGGTTTATCTAATATCAAATCAAGTATTTTCTTCTTATCCCCACCAAAGAAACCCAGAATTTATATGACAAGGTAACCCTTCAATTAGCAAACAAGGGGACGAAGTGAGAGGTATGAAGATGCCTATGTCAGATACCAGGGAAACCAAGAGTGACATCCTGAGGTCATTTTGCACAGGACCAACTGATGCCACCCCTCCTCTGAGCTCAGCCTGAGCTCTGAGTTCCAACTTGAGCCTGGGGGGACAGGGAAGAGTCAAGAGTCCTTGGTGCACATTTGAATTTGGCCAGGAGAGGGTGCACAAGCACCAATTTCAATAACGCTAGGCAGGTGCTCTACCACTTGAGCCATTCCTCCAGCCCTCAGTCACTTCTTGGTAGATGACCCAAAAGTGCCACAGGCCACCACCCCGCCAAAGATGCTATTCTGAAAGTTTAACAGAGGAGGTCACTATTTTTCTTCTTCTTTCCACTACTTCCACTACTACCAAACAGACAAAAGTGTGGCATGTATGGCAGGCCTATCTATCCCTCATACACTGTATCTGGGAGAACTAAGATGTAGCATGTGCCTCCTTTGAGGTCTCCTCTCTAGGCAGGCTAAAAGTGGTTTCTTAATGGGGCACCCAGCCAGGTACCCTTTCTCCAGGGCATTCCACTTCTCAACAGAGCAGCCACAATTTGTAGTTATCTGTTTGTGATGTGCCAGGCACCATGACAAACACTTGGTGTGAGCATCATTTCCTATTCATTCACAGTAGCTTGTCACACAGATATTATCGATACTCTCTCTCTCTCCACATGAGACAAAGGCAGGTTCAGAGAGACAGTGCTCTGTCTGATTGGGGTCACCCACCTAGTATCAGGGCTGGGATTCAAACTCAGGTCTGCCTGACTCAAAAGCCTGCTCTCCTATCACTCATAACTTCCTCAGGTTCCTGCAGAATGGGGGAAGATACCGTCACCTGAAGGCCATGGGTGAGCCTGAAGAAGTAGTTAACTCCTCTGGCAACAAAACATGCCATCCATGTTTTGGATGCTTCAATTCACTTGAGATGAGACCCAAACTCAGGTGACCTTCCCTCATGACATGGTGTGTCACCTCACCGATCTGTCTGACCACTGTGTTCTAGTTTTGAGCATGCCTCATCATGCCCATTGAGGATACAACTAGCCTCAACAAGGACTGGAATCAAAGTGGGGTGGTTACTGTTCCTTTAAGCCCATCATTCAGGAGACAGAGACGTGAACAGGAAAATAAGCAGGCCAAGAGGGCAAGAAAAAGTGAGTCACCATGGGCTGGTTACGCAGATGCTCCCTCATCCTGAGTGGCTGAGGAAGTGTGCTGGGGAGAGCTCACTGATAAGCTGAGAACAGGGTGTGGAGTCAGCAGTCTGAAACACGCAGCACTCCCAACCTTCCAGGCTCCACAGTAAACAATGGCGCTGGGCAGGGAGTACAGAGGCCAGCACGGGGGAAGGCCAGGCAGAGAAGGCAACATCTACTACCGCATGCAGCAAGAGACAAGTTTTTGAGGAAAGAGTAGCCCCAGCCAAGACTCGTCCTATGTGCCTCACTTCTCCCCCATTAATTTGGCACAACCAACAGCAGAATCTGAGAGACTTGGCTGTGATCCAGCCAGGAGACACTCAAAGACCCTTCTCAGGGTCAGATGATGGACAGTATCAGAGACATTGAATGTGCTCTTTGGGCCTCAAGATCACTACTGCCACAGGTTACCTCCTCTAGGGTTTCTGATTACCATCAGTAAGTCAGTGAGTTATGTTCCTGACCTATAAGACAGTGTATGCGGGAATGAGTGTTCCTCTGGGGACATGGTACAGAGCTTCCAGAGATTCTAGGCTTTGAGTCCCACAAAACGGGGAGAATCACAACATAAGTGAGGAAATGGAGATCCAAAGAGAAAGAGTTTGAGGTAGGGTCGTCAGATAAAACAGTATCAGAATGTTCTGTGCACATTTGGGAAATACACAAAAAAAGTTATTCATTGTTAATCTGAAACTGAAACTTAACCAAGTGTCCTGTATTTTTATTTGCTACATCTGGCAACCTTTGTTTGTGATCAGTCTAGCCCAGACCCTATCTCTCTCCTTCCTGTGCTTGCTCTCCTTGAAAAGCCACCAAGAGTAGATTAATGAAAACAAACTCCTTCCCCCCCACCACCCAAAAAAAAAATCTGCCCTTCCTAAGCAGCTGCTTTAGTTGCCCAGTAATACAACGGAACCAGGAGCCCCCATCTAGTTGTGCAGCTGCCAGGGCATCTTCCCCAAGCAGCCCTGGCACAGTGAGAACAGAGGGACAGAGCTGAATGCACTGTACTCTAGTTGGTTCCTGAACAAAGAATCTATTCCAGTACTGTTTGTACTGCTCTGAAGACAGGAGTTACATGCCAGAGAAAAACAAAAACAAGAAAACCTCCCCCACAAAAAACAAACTCCAGCAGCTTTGTAAGCCACAATCAAGGGCACTGAAGAATGCTAAAGGCCAGAGGAGTGAGAGTCTGGCAACACTTACCAGGGAACTTTCCCAGGAACCCAGGAAGAGATGAGCTGGGCTTCTCTGTGGCCTTTTTCCAAGGCTCAATGCCTAAGTAGGCACTGGGGTATTGCTGAGAGAGCAGGCAAAGGGCCAGCTCCCACTTCCTAGAGGACAGACTCTGGGTTCTGGGCAGGAGAGCTACCCACTTCCTGCAGACAAGGACACATCTACCCCTACACCCACCCCATCCCTGGCCCACTGCCCCTCACCAGTGTAACCGCAGTGCATGGAGGAAGGCTGAGAGGCCCTCCATGATCAGCAGGATGGCTACAGTCAGGGTGGCGAAGGCTGCGAAGATGAAGAACAGCGCCAAACCTCCTGCCAAGCTCTTCACACTCAGGCCGATGTGGATCACCATGGTCCAAAGCACCTCAGACAGCTCTGGGGTCAGGGAGACACAAGGTCTGGTTCAATGTGGCAGGAGATGGTTATGGTTCTTGTATTTTGCTCTGCATCTTCCCCTGATGGGTTCCTTGAGCCCTGGATTCCTGCAGTTTTGTTAGGATCACCATGCACAGCTGGCCTGGCATAAGTGCTGATCCTCCTAGCTGTACTCATTCTGCCTGGATTCAGTAGCTGGAAAAATTCCAGAACCTTTATGTGATTTCTATGCTGGGGAAGCCCTCACTCAACGGAGGGAGTTCCCAGAGAAGGGGAAACCCACAGCTCTGGATTTGAGAGAAACATACTCACGTGCATGAGCAAGGCTGAGGGCCCAGAGCCGCAGGTAGGAAGCAGTGTTGGAGATGCAGCCCAGGCAGTATTCAATGGTGTGGATGGCCTGGTGGACCATTGTGTCCCCAAAGTCAAACTGTCATGGGAGGAAACCAGGGAGAAGATATCAGGCCAGAAGTAGAATATGCAGGAATTCTCAGTCGGCCTCTTGAGGAGGCCAGTGCAGGGCTGGGGACCATACTCCTTCATGGTTGACATCTCACCTTTAGAGGGGCTCTGAGCACCCAGTGTTGACCTCAGGAGGTGATTGCAGCAATGCCTTCTTCAGAAATCCCCCGCCTAGCTTCCATCTGGGACTTCCCAACTCCCTCAGCAAACTACACTATATCATATCTCAATGAAGTTCTTCTCAGCATATTTTTTTCCTCTCCCTGCTGGGCTCTGAGCTCTAGAGCAGGAATATGCTGTGCCAAGAACACTCAGTTGAGAATGGACTTCCTGGACCCAGGACTGTAAGAACCTGCCGGTGGACTTAGCACAGCTGATTACCTCCTTAGAGCAACGCTGGCTGAGGAGTGAAGCACCCATGCTCAGAATACAGCAATGAGAGCAGGCAGGGGGTCCCCAGACAGCAAGTTCAGGCTGGAAAATGACTGCAGGAGATTCAGCCTTCATGGGCTCTTAATTTTTTTTTTTCTTTTAATGGCCTTTTGGGGTCAAGACAACCTTTTTTTCCTGAGACTTCTAAAAAGATTACTCAGAAATTTTCACACAACTCTTACACATTCCCACATGGATAGTTCATCAGTTCATCTTATATTTTTTGTTTTTGTTTTTTTTTTTCAGGTTTCCTTTCTTTTGGTTTTCCTTTTAACACCAAGTTTTTCTAGAAGAAAGGGGTAGCTTGGAGTGGTGTCACTAGCCTATGATCCCAGCACTTGGGAGACTGATACAGGAGGATTGCAAGTTCAAGGCCATCTTAGGCTACATAGACAGGTTCTGTCTCAAAAGAAAAAAAAAAAAAAAAAAGAGGTGGGGGAAGATTCTCAAGAGTCCACTTTGCGAACTGCTTCAAGCACAATTGGGAGAATGCAGTTTTCTAAATTTGGGATGTTCTAGAAGCATTAGAAGGATCAATCAACAAACCACCAAAGACTAGGAGGTGGTTCCCTTCCTGAGCTGCTCTCTAGAGTCCAGGCCAGCATCACCATGGGCCTCCAGGCTCTTGCGGCTCAGTCAGCTGTCCCAGCTCTCAAGTCAGGGTCTATTTTCCACCACAGTTTCCACACTGTACTTAGGGGCTGGGCTGGTAAAGGCTTAAGGGTAGGGCTAGTGGGGAGAGGGGCCTGCTCTAGCATATTATCTCTGGGAGATACCTTGCTTCCTCTCTCCTCTATTTATGCCTGGTGAATTTCTGGACTTTTCTCTTTTCAAGCCTCCTACTTATCCTGAAAACTGGAGCAACCCTTGTTACCCCAAGTTACCTCAATTCCAGCAATGATGTGAAGCGCTCTTTTCCACAACTGCTGTGTGGATGGGAAGAAAAGTCCAGAGCTACAAGGAGCTCAAACCTTTATTCCCAAACTCAGTGACAGCAGAGGTCCTTGGGTTCCCTTAGAACCAGCCTCTTTCAGCATTTTTATCTACTCAACTTTTTCCTATTAAAAAAGGAAATGGGCTGGGGTATAAACTCCTCATGTGCCTGTGTCACTTCTAGCTCTTATTTTTTTTTTGGCGACACTGAACTCAGGACATTATCACACTCACTTGGCAGGCCACTCTTAATGCTGAGCCACTTCACCAGCTCTTTTTTGTGATGAGTTTTTTCAAGATAGGGTCTCAAGAACTATTTGCCCCAGGAATGGCTTTGAACCGTGATCCTCCTGATCTCTGCCTCCTGAGTAGCTAGGATTACAGGCATACCAACTTCTGATGGCTCTTTGTTGCCTAAACGAAGCAACAACTTCGTGGGTTGGTCTTCGTTGGTCTCTGCCAACCTTTAGTTTCATCAGTCCCTCAACTCCCGACTCTGTTCCAGTCAAGCGGAACCCTTGCTCAACAGGGAATGGGCCCATAGACCTTCATCTGTGTAACACGACAGACACTAGTGGGGGTCTGTACCCTTTCTTCTCACCCTCCCTCCAGAGACCCCTGTCTGGCTAGACTCACTCAGGAATAGCTCTCTGAAGGAATCCTCCCAGGTGTCTTCTTTTCACCCTCACCCCAAAATCTGTCAGGTATCCTTTCTATGCTCCTCCTACAGTATCCTGGTAAAGGCCTATAACACCATCTATCACCTAGACTGTCTCCCCATTTTGTCTCGGAGATCCTTAAAGGCAAGAACTACTTTTTTTCTCTCAGTTTTTCTATTGCACTAAATATAGCACTTGACACATAGAAGGATAAAGGAATGCAAAGATGAGTGGGTGAGTGTGTGGATGGGTGGGTGAATGCATGGCAGGATTAATGAATATACCTAGTGAAAAGACACAAAGGGGAGAGGGGTCGTTGACCCCTGCCGAGTAGTTACAGCCTGGGATGATTTCCCAAATATCCAGGGGCTTGGCCCTGGTTTGCAGTTAACTGAGTACCTCCCAGAGAAACAATGGCCTGTGTGCAACAAGCAAGTTTTCACAGCCAAGCAAAGTGGGAAAATTCTAGAGATAGGCTGGACTGTTTTATTTGAAATCATTAGCTGTAACAGTTATCTAAATTTGGTTGTAGAAAACCAATACCTGATAAGGTAAAATGTTATAACTATTGAAGAAGGCAAGGGAAGCTGAATCCCTGAGTAAATCTGGTGGCCAGAGACTGGGAAGGCTGAATTAGAGCCTATCTTCATTGGATGCCCAACCACTGGAGATAGGCTACAAATGAGGACATTGGTACTAGATGGTCAGCTGGACCATTCTGATAATAGCCATGGCATTGAGTGCTCGATGAGGAAGAAATTTAGGAAGCAGTATTGCTGGAGGTGGTGGTATGGGGAGAGAGCTGGGTTTCTCACCAGCATGGAACACCTGCCTCCCCTACCTCCCAGCCATGCCAGGCAACTCAGCCAGCAACTGTGCACAGACAAGTCAGTCCAGGAACAAAGGACACCCTTGATACCAGCAAAGGAGCCTCTCCAAACTTCAGGAAGACTAAGCACTGCCTGTTTTTTACCCAGAACAAACAAAGGTTTTCCCATTCTCATCCCACTGCCCCTTAGAGGACCAGGAGAGCCAGGAAAGGGAAAGGTACAGGTCTAGGTATTTTAGAGAGAAGTTTTGGGGAAAGATGCAAACAGTGCAGCAAGGCCTTTAAAAAACTCAATTCAAAATACATGTGTTTCTACATGAATTACTGCTGGGCTAAAAGGCCTTGTACTCTGGACATGCCTGAGTATTTAGTCAGCTTTCTGTTCTCTATCATTCTCTACATGTGTCTAAAATATGAACTTCTTCCACATGGATGGATTCTTTTTTCCAGGATGCATCTGAGAGGCAAAGCCTCCTTTTGAAAGCCATCTCTACTTCTCAACTGGGTCACATGGAGGTACAGCTAACCCCAAGCAGGGGTCTGGCAGTTCTAAGCTAAAGCATCACCAAGCTGATGAGGCCAGAAGAAAGAGGCTGGCTGCATTTGACAGGGAGAAAAGGTAAACTTTGCTCACAAGCACTCAGAGGAGAAGCGAGATAGCTTCCCCCAGTGGCAGAGCAACCACATCATCACAGGAGAGGAAGGCAGAGGCCCACAGGACTTAACCCCAAGGGGAGTCATTTCAAGAATGCCAGTGCAGACATTACTTGCAGCTCCTTCAAAGCCACTCTCAAAAGTATTAGATCAGCAAAGTCAATGACACAAAGACAGAGGGGACCAACATGAGATGCAGTTAATGGAGATGACCTCTTTTCGAACACAGGCTCACAAACTGGTTAGAAATGGCCAGTGAGATGCAGGATGCAGGGTATCATGTGTGTGGCCCCAGGGTGTGGCAGGTCAGCAGAGTGATCACAAGGATGGGAAAAGAGAAGCCCCAGATAAACATGAAGGCTTTGGTCTTACCACTTCGTCCTCGGTAGGCTTGAAAACACAAATTTACACTTAGTGGGAAGCCACGCCACAAACAGTCACAAGTTATGAGCACAAACTACTGATTGCTTCTTGGGGAGGATCATTAATGTTAAATGGGACTAACACATACACGCAAAGGGAAATCAGCAGGAATTTACAGCATTAAGATACATATTTTAAAAAAGCATCCCAACACTTGCAGTTAAAAAAAAAATCACATACATAGTCAAAGTGGCCAAACTAAAAAGTCCAATAGGAATGGGATCTCTAGTTCTATCCTATTTACTTTAAAAAGAATATAATGAATAGATGAGATTTAATAGTTCAATTCAGAGGCTTTGTGCAGAGTGGTCAGGCAAGGAGATTGGATTTTAAATAAATAGAGTTGGAGGTAGTGTCTTAAGGAAAGACTAGTGTGGCCTGATTTGTTTCCACTCCCTATAAAAAGAAGGCAAGTAACAACAACAAAAACCAAAAAAGCTCAAACAAAATATATATGCAGCAAGAACATCAGTGGGGTAGGACTTTAAAAAGTACCAGTGATTACAGCTGGTAAGCAGTGTAACTAGAACAATTCTTGGAAAGATCAGGGATGAAGAAGCTATCCTAAGTACTCTTGGCTCTGGTAACAAAAGCTGGGTGGGATGCTGGTGCTGCCTGGGCCAAGGAGAACAGTTAGTAATTGAGGTCACATGCAGAGTACTTAGGCACCATGGAATTCAAGAAGAGCAGAGCAAAGCTGCTGCGGGCTCTGTGAGCAACACCTGGAGTTTAGAGTTGAGGCCCACAGAAAAAGCTGTGGCACCCTAAGCAGTTCAGAAGGCAACCAATTGTTAGTACTTTTACTTTTTAAGGAGAAGACTAGAGTGAACCTCTTAGGAAAACAAGACAAGAGCTGACCTGAAGTAGAAGGAGAGGAGGCCCACACCACTGGATCTTACCTCTTCCGCGTCCTCAGAATGGGTGGAGAGCTGGTCATGCTGAATAATCTCAGCATCCTCCTCTGTTGGTCCGTTGCCCACCCTGATCCCACCAAAGTTCAGAGTTCCCTACACAGATGAACAGAAAGAGTAGAATTTGCCTGGGCTTTAATGTGACATTCTGTGAGGTGGGGAAGGGCGATGGTTAGTATATACAAACCTCAGAAAGGCATATATGCTAACAACAAAAGCAAAATCCACTGATTGAACAGCTAAGTAAAAACAATCAACCATTTCCATCCCAACCACCACCACTCCAGCCCCCACAGATAGTAAACTGTATTTACCACCTCATCATCAAGAGGCACCAGCCTCACCTTGGTCAAAAACCAAATAGAAAGCTGGATATGAACAGACTCTCATAACAAGTACAGCTCTATCTATAAAGCCTGCAAGGGCCTAAGTTTTGCTGGAAGTAAAGGTTAGAACGAGAGAGGGGAGGCAAAGGACATGGAGTGTATCCTGGTCTAATAAACGTTCAACAGGAGCCTAAGAATTCCAGCAACCTCTCCCAGAAATGTACTGGACCTCTGCCCAGTAACAAAGGAACTCCCTTAGTTGAGGAAGGCAAACACCAGCATAATGTACACCCATTTGTGGCTAGAGAATACGGAGTTAACAAATGTAAAATAAATCAAAGAGGCTCCTTTCCATCAGAGGGTTCTAGAGTGTTAAAACAACTCCTCTACAGGCATGTGGGCAGTTGCTGACTGGGCATTTGCTCCTGTCTTTGCAGGTACAGTTTTCAGCAGGACCTTCAAATATAGAATTTTACAGTCAACTTTATTTGTAAAAATTTGAGTTTAATGAGGCAAAAGGACTCTCTAGGTACAAAAACCCAGGCAGAGTTGGGTTAGATCTAGTGGATGCCAATTAGTGCTAACCTGCAGCAGAGTGGGAAGGAACATAGGAAACAGTCCCCTTGTATCCCTCTGTAGGGTTTCTGTCCAGACTGGAGCTAGAGGACTGCTCTCTTAAAATACGGCCTTCCAGACAGCAGCATGAACAATGCACAAGCAGATCTAGCCAACTTCCCTTGGTACCCCTCCTCAGTTTCACTTTTTGGGGTGCTTCTTCTACCACAGTTCACTGGCCAGCTCAGACCCTGGCATTTGCATATATTCCTCCTCTTCCTACAGCAGTGGTTCAAGAGAATCAGCTACATTAGGTCATCTTGGAAGCTGCATTTCAAATACTATCCCCAGAAACTGTAAATTTAGGTCTGGGTTGGGGTACAGGAAATCTGTATTTAAAAAATATTTCCCTAAGTATAAATCGTGTAATCATTGTGAAGGATATATTAAAATGTAAAACACATTCATCCTTTGAGATTCAGCAATCCCACTGCTGGAATATCTATGCTTGCAAAACTTTAATAAGATACAAATGGACAATGTACCATTGTCTCTAATTGAAAAGAATTGGGAACAACTGACACACCCATCAACCACCCATCAACTAGATTGATTACACAATTTTGGCATATCCAACGAAATAATCTATAGAATGCTAAGCTACCATAAAAAAAGAGTGATGATCACTGTGAAACAACCTCTAAACTACACTAAATTAAAAAAAAAAAAAAATCCAAATAAATCAAGGGGCATAAGAGTGTTATAGTTTAAAGCACAATTCTTAATATGTCTCTCCTACATACACACAATTCTTCAACTGATGAACACATATACTGGAAGCAAAGCCCCTACCTGTTAACAATACCCAAGAGGAGGAGAACTATGGTGGGGACTGAGGTTTCTTCTTGGTTAGTACTAAATGCATTCTCTAGTCAAGTATACATATTGCTTTATTTTTTAATGTTAGGGGGACTGTCTGGGTCATGGAATTATGAGCAACTTTTATTTCTTCCACTTACTTGTTTTAATACCCTAAGAACGAATTCTAAGTTTGCCAGGTGGTTCTGATGTGTAGTCAGATTTGAAAACCACTTCTAGGTCAGGCATGAAGGGCACCTGACCACCCTCAAAAGGAGGACTACAAGTATAACAAAGGGCACAAGACAGGACTCCAGCATATTCTGGGCTGGGTTATAGGAAGAGGAGGAAGGCTTCAGGATTCAAAGTGCCCAAAACGGAAGGCCATTTCTGAAGTTTTCCCCGCCAACCAGCAGTGCAGACAGGTTAAATCTCCCAGCCAGATGCTAACAAGTATCCCCTCAGACCACAAGGAATTAGAGTTACAAAAAGGGGGATGAGAGACACACAGTACAAAACAGAAAAGAAAAACTAAACTGTAATATACCACTTATAGACAATCAAGAGGACAAAAAAAAAAAAAAAAAAGAACAAAATCAGATTAGTGTTCATATCCTCAGCTCTTTGAGGTGAAGAATCCAGGCCCTTCTTGTCAAGTGATCATCCTGGTGTGTCAGCTGCTCTCTAGAAAACAGATGTTCAGCTACAAAACCAGTGGGATAAGAAGGCTCTGTATATGTGCAGGTTTCCAGGTTGGGGATCTTAATATGAAGTTTGGCATAGAAGATGTACCAGATTTAAAAGCATTAAGATCTTCTCGGAAGCACCTTCAATGCTGAGACTATCAGAAAGAAGACTGTGCAATGAGAACATCAGCAACAGTGGTATGTGCTTTATTTCTCATAGGAAAGGAGAGTTAGTCTCTACTTGAAAACAGTTTCAAGTAGCAAGATCAAAATTTTTTCTGATCTTAAATATCAGTCCGTTTAGACTAGTTCTAGAAGGATGACTAAACAGTTTTCAAGTTTAAAATGATGAGGAACCTCTACTGGAGGAAATAGCTATTCGTGTAAATATTTCATTTTCCTTAAAGGAATATGTGCTACTAGAACATGGAAGTAAGTAAGTAATCACTACCAGTGAGACTTTTAAAATCTAGAATATGTTGGGCTATTTTGAAATTATTGAATTTTAAGATTTTGGTTAAAAGATGCTTTTGAGGACAATTATTCAAATGCTGTTTGACAAATGCTGTTTACAGAAGATGACTTCGGTTATTACACCAAATGCGCAGTAAGCATGAGACACATGGGGAGTGAAGGTCTCAGTGAAAAAGGACATGAGGGCTTCTGAGTCTCTCACAATAAAGGAAACAAGTATACACACTCACTCTAAGGAGGGTAAGTCATCCCTAAAACAAACCAAATGTTCAAGCGTAACTCTGAAGTAGAACTCTAAAGTACAGGAAAATCAATTCAAGAATCACAGAGATGTTCTTGCTTCCATGCTGAAAAATCATCTAATACATGGTCACAAAATACAGACATGAGAGTGGATGAATCCAAAAGCTGCCACCTTAGATTAAGATGATGGGATTCAGAGAGGGTATAATAGCCACTGTACTCCCATGTATAGAACTATATTTACATATTTGAATAGAAATTTAGTAGACCAATGGTAAAGATGACATCAGAATCTATTCTTAAGAGGTGGAAAGCTCTTCTGTCATCATTTCAATGAGTAACAAGGACATACTTCCCTAGAGCACACGTGTCCCATGCTATTTAATGCTCTCATGCTCTCAATAGCATTAGAAGAATTCTGCTGCACTGTTTGCCACCTCTTTAATTTAAAATGTTTGGTTTGATGGATTTAATTCACTCACTGTTGCAGCCGCTGCTGCCTCTAGTCCCTGTTGGCTCGGGGTTGGGCTGACTGGGGCCTCCACAGGTTGCCCTTCCTGATAGTGAATGGAAGAAAAGAAGAAGGGAGAAGAAAACGAAAGAGGGAGGGAGGGAGAGGGAGACGAATGGGGGGGTACATGAAAGGATGAAAATGGTCAGAAAAGGGAGAAGGAGGGTCTTGTAACTCAGCTGCTTTCCAACAGGAAGAATAATCTCACAGCCTCATGAGAATCATGCAACAAGATCTTTTGGGTTTTCCCAGGCAGTGCAGTAAGAAAGCATTGTTGGATAGCCAGAAGTTACACACAATACCAAACATTTGACAGACTTAACTTTGTGTGTATGTGTGTAGAATTCAGATGCACACATACATCAAGTAAACACATGTATTATGTATGTATGCTGCTTTTTAAAAAGAAAAAAAAAAACCAATGTGCTTTAAATCAAACCTTTTCCCTAGATGTTTTGGTCAGTGAAAGTATCATGGTCTCATTTTAAAAGAAAATGTCTCAGCGCCAGTCCTGTGGTTGCCCAGGCAAACCACATAAGTGGGTTCACGGTCTGCACATCATGTAGCCTTGTTTTGGCTGATGCTGCATTTAGACAGGCCTGGGCCTGGATTCTGCTGAGAATAGCATGAGTAAATCATGACCACAAAAGGTAAAAATGTATGACTTATTCTCTCTACTCAGCCACTCAAAGCTGAATCCAGATGTCTGAGCAGCAAATATGTATTTCTCTGACTTTAGCAGGCCCAGTGCTTATGCAGGGATACAAAACAAATGCACCTTAAGAATATATAGATTTTTGCACAATTAATTATATTCGCTGGGAAATTTCCTTGATTTTTAAAAAAGTAAATCTAATACCTTTCAGCAATAGAATTACACTCACCAAATGCTTCCTCCTCAAATATTGATGGCGAAGGACCAGTGGCTTACAGAGCAGCATCCAAGGTACACACAGTAGTGCAACCACTACCAGGAAACACTGAATTCCTTCCTGCAAAGTAAGAATAAGGCCTATCAGATATATGTTCGTTAATCAAATATGAAGTTTCCAGCTGTAGTGCAAATTTCCTCTGAAACAGCATTTCCTTACCAGTACATGAATACTACCTACCTGGTTTCTCAAAATAAGTAGCAGGTAACATAGCAAGCCCGTAAGACAGTAAAACTAGGTATAAATTCTATCCTTTCTGGACACAGAAATTATAGTGAACCCTCCCAAGCTAAGGAGGATGGTCTGAATTTAGATTTGGATATACAGGGCAAAAACCAAATACTACAGAAAGGTGTCTTCAGGCTTGCTTAGGGTCAGAGAAACATCTGTTTTCATGACCTATGGTAATCACCTATGACAGCCCTCCTCTGGGTTGACATACCTGTCCAGAATACAGCATTGGATACCCAGAATCTGGGTAGGAAAACAGGAACATGTTTATAAAATGGATCAGAAGGCTTGGTGCATTCTCAGATGTGTGAGCATCATAGGCTGTCCACTTGTAAAAAATAAGGATAACCAAGTAGCCAAACAAAGAGGACATGAAGATTATTTCAGGAATAAATCCAAAGTAGATATTCAGGGGCTTCTTGAAATAGCTAAAAGGGGAAAGAGGAAAAAAAAAATGTTAAAGAGTGCACAGACCCAAGGTCACTCACTCCTTCATTGAGTGGACTGCTCACTAGATTTTTCAACACAGTGTTCCCTCAGTTCTCTCTATGTCACTTTAAGCAGCAGCAGCCATAAGCTCTTAAATAGAGAATATAGGATTAACTACCACTCCAAACTTTTGGACTTTGAATAGCTCTAAAACCACCTGCATCATTTTCTCTACGAGAAAGGGAATGGAAAACCTACTATACTGAGACCATAGTTCAAAATTTTATGTGAGTTGCACATCAAAAAGAAAAAGAATTCACTCAGGCTGTGGTAGAGTGTCTACATACATGCTCAAGGCTCTGGACTCAATCAACAAAAACAGCAACAAAAGAACTCACTTTGATGAAAATTGCTCAAGTTTTGTGTGTGGTTTTTTTTCCCAGAAATCTTCATTACAACTATGAATTGTTAAGGGACCAATATTAAAGCCTCATTTAAGAGGAGTTTTCTTTTTTTTGTGTGGTACTGGGGCTTGAACTCAGGGCCTTCACCTTGAGCCACTCCACCAGCCCTTTTTTTGTGATGGGTTTTTTAAGACAGGGTCTCTTGAACTATTTGCCTGGGCTGGCTTCACACATTGATCCTCCTGATTACAAGTGTGAGCTGCCGGCACCCAGCAGACCATGAGATTTTAATAAATTATTTCTATAATACAGAGCTGAGGTCTGAGTTATTGATTCTCCCCAAAGATGTTAGGATTTCGTAGGCAAAAGCATTATCTAAACTATGAACATTCTTATGATGAAAGGAACGGAACTACTCACATATGATTGAAAAGGCTCAGGCTGACTCCAAACATCATATGGATGATACCAAGAATAACAGACATCTTCATTTTAAAGGAGTTGAGAAAGGTCAGTTTATTGGTTGCAATGTTCCAAATCTGTCACAACCCAAGACCAAAAAAAAAAAAGGTATTACTCAAAGAATTCTCAAATGGGGAAGTATGGTATTCATCTGTTTAAAAAAACACTTGTTTTTCACTATGGAAAATTCTAAACATTTAAATACAATAACAAACTCCTATGTATCCACTGGATTCATGCCAATCTTGCCTCATCATACTTTTTCCCTACTCTCTATTACTTTGAAATTCCATGTCATTTTATCTTTAAATATTTCAATATGGATCTCCAAAAGGTAAGGGTAAAAACATGACAAATACAGTCATCACACCAAAAAAGCATTAACAATTCTTCTTCTTCTTTTTTTTTTTTTTTTTTTGTGCTGGGGATTAAATCCAAGGCTAGGTGAGTGTTCTACCACTGAGCTACATACTTGGCCCCAGCAATGCTTCTTTAATATTAGAAAATACACAGTCAGAATTCAAATTTGTCTTTTTTGTCTTTTTGGCAGTACTGGGATTTGAACTCAGGGCCTTGTGCTTGCTAGGCAGGCACTCTCTACCACTTGTGCCACATCCCCAGTCCTATTTTCAGATAGGGTCTCACATTTTTGCCCAAGCCTGCTTAGACTGTAATCCTCCTGTTTATGTTTCCCAAATAGCTGGGATGACAGGCATGTATCACCACATCCAGCTTATTGCTGAGATGGCGGTCTCGCCAACCTTTGCCCAGGCTGGACTCGAACCCTGATCCTCTCAATCTGGGATTACAGGCATAAACCTTCACTTAATTAACTTTTTTTTTTTTTTTTTTTTTTTTTTTGCAGTACTGGGACTTGAATTCAGGGTTTTCTTGAGCCACTCTACCAGCCCTATTTTTGTGATGGGTTTTTTTGAGATAGGGTCTTGTGAACTATCTGCCTGGGCTGGCTTTGAACTGCGATCCTTCTGATCTCTGCCTCCTGAGTAGCTAGGATTATAGGCATGAGCTACCGGCGCCCTGCTTAATTCATATTCTTAAATTGTTGCCCCTGATTTTTTTTTTTTTTCTAAACACACAAACAATATTAAATCATACTTTATTTGCCAAAGTATTCAAGAAAAACATTCTGAGATAAGTTTTGGTAAGTATGTAAAGATAAGAATGGAAGCCTAAAATTCATATGCAAGAGAAATTTTTTTGTTAAACCATCTACTAAAAAAAACCAGATTAAATAGAAATAAATTAAGAACTAGGAAGGAGTACTGAAAAATCAATCTTTCCAGAGTCACTATTACTAGCTACCTCAGAAATAAGCAGTGTGGAGAAAAATATGTGGCTCCCCAAAACACATACTGAAGTACTTTGAACAAGTATGTCAAGGTTTTCCAAAAATATGTCAACTTAAAACCAAATAAGGGCTGGCGCTTGGCTTAAGTGGTAGAGCGTGTGTCTAGCAAGCATGAGGCCCTGAGTTCAAACCCCAATACTGCAAGAAAAAAAATCCAAAAAGTCAAAAACTAAATAACTACTTATATTCACTCTAATTCTCTCACTTCAGGGTTATAGTTAAAAACCCTGGAGATAGCATATAAAAAGAAGTGCTCTTACCGGATCAATGCCAAATGGGTATGGTCCACCAAAAACTCCTTGAACAGTTGGGTTCAATTGAAGAATAGGGTTCCCCCGAAGCGTGTCTTCCCTACCATGTTAGGAGAAAAGTCGTATTTATTTTTGATTGAGAGAAGAAAACGGCTGGGCACAAGAGAGGGAAACTGCTGGGCACTGGTGGCTCATGCCTGTAATATTAGCTACTGAGGAGGCAGTGATGAGGATTGTGGTTCAAAGTCAGCCCTCAGCAAATAGTTAGTGAGACCCATCTAGAAAAAAACCTATCATAAAAATAGGACTGGTGGAGTGGCTCAAGCAATAAGAGTACATGCCAGGAGGGGGTAGGGGCAGGGGGGAGAAATGAACCAAGCCTTGTACACACATATGAATAATAAAAGAAAAATGAAAAAAAAAAGAGTACATGCCTATCAAGTGTGAGGCCCTGAACTCAAACCCCAGTGCCGCCAAAAAAACAAAAAAAATTACTGGAGTCCAGAAACTATAAAGAGTGATCTGTTTGCAGTTTGATAAAAGAGGGACTAGTAGCCAAGAATGAGAAAGGATCAGACATAAAGAAAACTTAAACATACATATACAACTAACTAGGGAGTTGGGGGAATCTGCTTTTAATGTTACAAATAAACAAATGCTCTTAACATATAGTCTTAGTTCCTTGATACTTTCGAAAAATCACAAAGCGCTTCACAGATGGAAACATAAATAAGAAGAGGTACTGTGTTATTCTGAAATAGGGACATTGCCAACTACTTCCTAAATGGGTGATAGATTATCGCTTGTCTTACACATTAGAGTTGAATATAAAAGGAATTGGCTTTGACTTTTAGCTTCTGCAACTTACGTCCAATTATATACAGTGAACATCGGCCGTACACTCCAGGATGACCCAAAGATATTAAGAGACTTGGAAAAACAGTCATTGTAGATGAGGCCAGTGTAGATGGAGAACACACCCATCAACAGGATAATGTATCGACCACTGAACACGGTGCTAAACATCTGGGAACCAGAGAAAGAAGTAATGAAAAAGTACTGTTGTAGCTCATGTGGTGACAATGTTATTTAGAATATACTAGCCTTTTTCACTACTTTACACCATCCTGGTTCAGACAGCTTCAACTTTCTTACAATAAATAGCCTCTTTTGTATTCAAATGAACTTAACTTCTCTATTCCCTTTTGATAAGTCATGAACTTCTAAGATCATTATTTTCATAATGAATGCTTGACAAATTATAAGATTTCAGTCCAATGTGGATGCAACTTAAATATTACCTCATTCTCGCTTCTTCTGGGAGAGGATCCGGCTCTCCCTTAACACCATCCACACAGCAAAAAGGGTCATCAAAATGCCATGGCCAAAGTCTCCAAACATCACAGCAAATAGAAAAGGGAACGTGATGATGGTGTACGGAGCTATAAAGAAACCAAAAAAAGAAAAACACAAAGTACATAAAAGCCTAACAATCTTCCAAACACTACATTCTTCTAAGATCCAATCAGATGAGTCCAATCAGATGAGCTTTTTTTGGTAGTGGTGGCATTTGAACTCAGGGCCTTGCCCTTGGTAGGCAAGTACTCTACCACTTAAGCTATGCCTTCAGCCCTGCAATGAGCTGTTAAAGAAGCACTATCTGCCAATACATTTGCTCCTTATGTCAAATGGGCACCACTTTCACAGGAATTGCATACAAGCTGAGGTCTTGACAACATCTTTAGTTTTAAGCCAGTTGCTCAACAGGGTGTAAGAGTGAGGTGTTAAAAGACTCGAACAAGACAAAAACCTCTAAAGGAAAAAGAGTCAATCTTTTTACCTGGGTTTATCTCTCGGTAAGTCCCAATTCCATAAGCATCTACTATGTTCTGAAAGCCATATGTGAACTTGTTGGTTTTGTTATAGGTCGGGGGAGTCTGGTTTGTCTGCATCCGGTTCAGAATGGAGGGCACAGTGGAACCACTGTGTTCCTGGGAATCAAATCAAATATCACTTTTTTGTTTGTTTGTGGTGCTGGAGATTAAAGTCACATCCTCACACGGTAGGCAAATGCTCTATGTTTGAGCTACATTGCCACCCCACCAAATGCTACCTTTTTCTGAAGCTTTTTCTGATCACTTAATTAGAAAAGCTACACTCTCCCCTCTACACCTATCTCACTCTTAGCATGGACTGTCTTGTTTGTTTTATGCCAACATTTTCTGATAAACTATAAGATATGTGATGCATGTCTGTATATCTCTGTATATATCTAGGCCCTTAGATCAGTGTCTTAGAGCAGTTGCTCTAATTACAAAACAGGAGTACTCCAATAGGAAACTGATGTGGTAGTCATGAAGTATCCTAAAGAATCATGGGTATATGAACAAACCACTTCACCTCACAAAACTGCATTTCCACATCTGTAAAATAAGGACAGTATTCCAGACTACATACAAAATGTACTGTGAATATGTATTAAACAACACTAAAAGTTAAATTGTCAATTACAGCTTCCTGCGGGGTCATGGCAAACACTGTTGGTCGGGCAAATGAAGCCCCAGATACTCCAGACGATGTGGGAGATTGGCTCCAGGGCATCTACCACTTTGTCACCAATTGACATCCAGAGGAACTTGATCCTTAATTTGGTACTCTTTGCTGCCAGAGTTTGGCTGGTCAGGAGCCTGAGTGACATTGACCTAGTGGCCCCTCAGCCAGGGGTATAGCCAAGTAGACAAATGGAATTCCTGTGCTGTACCCACACCTTCCAAAAACACAGCCTAGAATATGTGACCACTACAAGATAAGGCCAGATGGCAGCTGAAATCTCTCTTTCCTTAACTCCCTTCTGTGGTCAGCAGTCAGCTTTAACTGAAGTGTTGCCTCTGTTTTTTAAAGTTCTGAACATAGTTCCCAAATTTCTGCTGGGGTGATCTATGCTCATGTCCTAAGAAGTAATAATAATGTTTTAACAAATATTTGAAATAAAGGCTGCACACACACACACACAAATTAAACTGTCATAAAAATGGTATTGATTGGCTGGGCATCAGTGGCTCATGCTTGTAATCCTAGCTGATCAGGAGAATCATGGTTCGAGGCCAGCCTGGGCAAAAAGTGAGACTCTATCTCAAAAATACCCAACACCACAAAAAAAAAAGTTATTATTCTTATTGGTGAATAATAATATTCACCAATATTATATATTGGTGAATAATAATATTGGTGAATAATAAAAATAATAAAAAGTTATTATTCTTTTCCTAGATACAAGCTTCTCTGCTACCTCTGGGGACTCACCGTGCCCCTTCTGAGCGCAAACTGGATGGAGTCAAGGTCAGTGACTGGGCACCAAACCTCTGCAATCAGGCATTTCTGGGTCACGTCTATGTTGCACAGGTTCAGGGTGTGGTAGATAGCCTTCATCTTCCGCACCTTGATGAACCAGACCCGAATGTTCTTAGCAGCTGCCTGCAGAACCCTTTGGCGGTGATCCTCCGTTTGATTCAGAACCTGGGGAGAAAGGAAAAGGGGAGGAACCCTTCTACCCCAAGTCTTAGATCTCAAGATAGGAATGGCAAAGAGGCACAGCTTTCTAAAAAAGGGTTTCCTTCCTCTGGCTAGATTTTGTTGTTGTTAAATTATAAGAAATATGAGTTCTAATTAGTAATATTCATTTTCATTTAGCTTCAAGCTGAAGAGAAACCTAAGAAAACATTTTTTAGCTTTTCTGTCAATATTCAACCTTATCACCCACCCAAGGCACAACAAATGTTGGTCCCTTGCTTTTACTTGAATTGTTAAAGAGTGAAGACATTCTAGGTAGAGCCTTAACTCAAAGGAGGGAGTTGCACAGACCCCTACAAATGAACAAACCCACACTTAAGAACAGCAAGCTGTAGACTACCCTGCACATGAATGAGTATTATGAAAGAGGCTATGCCAACCACCTGCCCATCCCTGGAACATGAGCTGGGAGACACTGTGATATGAAGCACACCCATAGCCCCTATAATGGTCTGGAATGCCACATACCACTACCATAATGGGTCACACTTTTGAAGGAAAACAGCTAAACACATTGCTCCCAACTGGAAGGAACCCTCACACTTTTGTAGGAGAATCTACCTTAAATCCCTGCATTTCTTTGAAGAGGAAAAAGCATCATACTAACAATGTTAAGCACAAGTCTTCATCATAGAAGGTTCTTCAAGTTAGTTCAGAACAAGGTAGCAACTACTCCCTGAAAAACTGTCCTGTACAGAGGAAGATGACTTCCACAGGAAGATAAAAGGAAATTTTTTTTAAAGCCAGGGAAACTGTGTCACTTTATGAGCTACTTTCTTTCCTTCTAGTTGTTAACTACTTCATAATTAATATCAAAACTTCTTCTGGAATGATGCTAAATAAATTTGCAACCAAGGTACTAGTTGCTTTTCTCTTTCCTTATCACACACCTTGCTATTCAATTTCTTTTTAAAGTTTTAATTCCTATAGTTAGACTTTTTTTTTTTTTTTTCAGTACTGGGGTTTGAACTCAGGGCCTCACACTTGCTAAGGCAGGCGTTCTGGTTGAGCCACTCTGCCAGCCCATAACTGGACTTTTTAAAAATCAAATTCTAGTCATTAATAATGACTATTGCACATGGTCTTTAAATATCCTCAAAAGCCTGGAAGGAGACAGCCCTAGACACCAGAATGTGCTAATATAGCTATCACCCACCAGTTCTAAAAAAACTCTTTTACTCTGATTAAAAAGGTATGAGTATCTCAAAAAAGCTGACAATAGGTCATATACAATGGGGGTTGAAGGGGAAGACAAGAAAAGGAATTGAAATGGGAGTTATTACATATCCCTCACAATTTTGTCACTTCTAGAAGGAATGTCTTTGGAATGAGGTGTAGTTATTAATGTTTCAATCATTACAATCCCTCTTTCAAATAGAACAAGCCCCACTAGCCATCCTTTCCTTCCAAAGACTCACAAATTATGACTCCTTTCTTAGAACCCTGAGATAACCATTGTGTGCATAACACACACTTGGTAAAACTCTAACTCAATTTCTTGTTGGGTTCAAAAGTCATGCTGAGGCTATTTGGCTGGACTGTGTGGTTAAGATCAAAGGTGACCAGGAAGATACACCACGCTGTTAAAAATAGCTGCCTTGGACAGCAGTGCGTGCAAGAGGGCAGAATGGACTTTACATGTACTTCTGGATTAACTGATTTTATTCTTAACTAAGCACACTTAATTTTTTTATTATAAAAATAGCTCACAAAAAAAAAATCTCAGACTTACGAGGTGAAGGGGAATTGAATATGCTAAGCAACAACAATTCCAGATGCACAACATTCCTGTCTTGTTTGAGACTAATACTATTTTTAACAGTCATTCCCTAAGCCCTGAGACTTTCCCCAACTCCCAGGGGGTCTTATTATGCATGGACGTTTTTTTCTTTTTTTGTATCTTAAAATGCTACAACTGCCTAACAAACAGTAATTCAAGTAATTCAGTAATTCAAGGAAGAAGAATGGTACTCTATTGTAGAGTTCACAAAAACAAATTCCCTCCGCCCTCTGTGTACCATTTGGAGATCATCAATCCTGGTATTGACTCCAGAAGCCATTTCTTTCCTCTCCTGTGGTGTCTCAGGACAGGGATAGAGTGAAGCTCGGAACCTAGAATGTATGGGCACAGCTTTAGAAACATCATATTCAATTAAATAATCCCAGAAAATAATCCTAACTAACAAGGAGGATCAAAACAGAATTAGGTCAGGCTGATGTGTTAATCAATATTGATTATTTATGTGAAGTAGCCTGCAAATACAGCAATAAAATTTGAACTATCTTGACATTCTTTATAACTATGAAATTCCCTTAAGATTGAAAAAAAAATTATAAAATAAATTTTATTATAGATTACTGAAGAAAAACAGCATAGAAAAAGCTCTGGTCATAAGACAGACTTTCAGAAAACTTAGGTACACAGTACTTATGGCATTATGCTGGTATGTAAACCCACTGTCCCAGAATAAAGGAAACTGTGGTTTTGACAACACTTTTAAAAAAAGAACTTGGAAAAAAGAAAAAAAAAAAAAAAGAACTTGGGCTATTTCTAATGGTTTAAAACAGTCCTACTATTATTTAATGATACATTCACTGTGTCAAAAAGGCTCAAAATGATCTGCACTTCACTATTCTGAATCTTAAGGTGTAACAGTTAAGCAACATGGCTATACCGTCTTGGGTGGAGGCAGGTGTCTCTTACCCTTCACAGATTTTCTTCACTCTGTTTTTCAGCTGATCGCCTTGGAAGAAAATGATAAACACAGACTTGTGCACGTAGTCACCCTAGGCCCCAGAAGCAAAAACCAAGAGTTCAGACCTCTAGATCTGGATGTAAATTTCTTAAACATCTTGGCTTTCTCTGTGATATAGGAATTATAGGAATTCTTCAAGGATAGGCCTCCTGCACTCCATTTCTTAAGCTCCATTTTAAGAATGTACTATAGCCTCTAATTCACAAAAATTTTCTATTTTCAGACACAACCAGAAGAGAAGCTAGCTAAGATGATATTCCTCTTAGCAGTTTAGCCTTATTTTCCAATTCAACTTTAACTCTTATATTGCATGAATGACCAAAGTATAGAAGAAAGAGATGGAAGCACTCTTGTCTGTTCCAGGGCTTAGAAAGTTCCAGATAAAGGGAGTTGAATAACTACAAGGAATTAAGTTACTGGGAAGAATGTTGGTGTAGAATCTCGCAAATCATGCCAATTTGGATTTTATGGTGCAGGGAGAAAGAATCAATCCCAAGTTTACACCTGGAATATGATGCAAGGACTAGAAGCAAAGATCCCAATAAAATATGGTAACAGGGTATTAACCAGGATTGTCCCTGCTTGCATCAATTTCTCACATTCATGTAGAATATTACTGCTTTTATAAAAAGAAAACAAAAGTTTAGAAGGATAAAAGAAAATGACAAAAGAATGTCAGGTCTGAAAATCCTAAACCCCTAAATTCTCTGGGCTAAACTGGAGCTCATTCTTTGTGCAGCTGCTCTATCACAGGTGTCAGGCCCCCCTTCCATGGATTTGTGGATAAAAATAATCTTTCTGTTGCCAAGGAGAAATGTGACTGAATATTCCTAAAATGAGCTCCATATTAGGTGTGATCTCAGATTTCAATGTTTCTACAACCCAGTGAGATTGTAAAACGACACACCAATGTAAAGGGATTCACCTTATGTGTCACCCCATTCCTACCTGATACGGAGCATAAAAGCACGTATTAGCACAATCCACCCAACCTGAGAAGTCTCAAAATTCAATCTCTCTTCTTATGGTAGAGCAAAGAATACTAATTTAAAACATTCATAAAATACTCTAGGCCAGAAAAACCAACTCCAGGCATCTAAATAATACTAATCCAAGAGCAAAACATTATTTTTGTAGGACATTTCACCTTTTCTTAAAATCCCTGAAATGAGAACTATGTTCATGTAGGTTTAGGTGATGAACTGTCCCATTACATCAGATACAAAGATATCAGGCTGTTCCTATTTTCCATAGTAGTAGGTGGGGAAGTATCACCTTATCTTGTACAATAGCTATTCTTAAACTAAGTTTCTGATTCTCCCAGTAAAAAAAGCAGAAAATAAAGTCTTACCAAGTAAAATTTATCAACTTATAAAGTTTAGGAAATTTCTCCTCTTTTTACACATGAGTATCACTAAATTTTTAACCAGATGTTTTGCTTTAATTTTCATAAAAGGCAATTTTTCTTTCAGCTTCAGACTAGCAACAGGAAGTATATTAAGTCTAAAATAATTGGAAAAAAACATTTCCAATAAAAACAAATACCTACATGGATAAGGCTTGAAAATATATGTGTCATGTATACATCAGATGTACACACAAAGGGAGTTAAGTTTGAGGAAAGGAGCAGTCCTTCAAGTTCTCAGATCAAAGCAGGAATAAGCAGAAGGGCTCCTCTGTGGAAGGGGAGGATTCAGGTGGTGCCATGCTGTGCTACTGCTCTGTGCTCCATTTACAAGACCTACTCCACATGACACAATCTCCTTGTCTTACAGTTACAGGATCCTCCAGGGGGTTCTCGATTTCAGCCTGTCTCAGGAACACATTCCCTCGGCACACTCGCCAAAGCATGCGTTCAAAAGTAGGAATGCGCTCCCGGTTAATCACACCAGCCACGAAGCTGTGGGGAGAAGAACCAGATTGGGAACTTTAGTCCATGATAGGGTATGGGAAGTTTTAAATGAGAGAAGGACAAAGATTATATACTACACATGAGACTATGAACTGTCAAGTTAAAAAGCCCGCCAGAGTCTTATTCTGGACCCAGGAGAGGGTTGACAGACAATTCAGGAACTGAATCCAAAGATGGAGAAACACTTCTCAACAAGCTCAGAAGACAGGCCATCCTGCCAACAAGTTAATCCCCTGCCTCACTGCTCTACTGAGCAGGAAAAAAAGAACATGACCCCACTGGGTATAGGAAGTCTGGAGTGGTACTTACCCAAGCCTTAAAGGTGTGCCTCTTCCCATTTCACTTGGCTCCAAGAGGGATGAGGACTCTTCCAACAGGTCTGGATCCGCCATCTGCTGATGATGCAATTCAGCCTGAATTCACAAATCAATTAATATCTAATGAAAATAGTTAGTGGCATGCAGGGAACGAGGAGCCAGGAGACAGGTTCAGAAAATAAAGGTGGGAAAAAAAACAAAACAAAACCAAAAAAATCAACCAAACCACCTAAAGAGAGGACACACTCACAAAAAGACGCAGAATAGAAGAAGAAAACAAAAGAAATAAACAAAAGGTAAAAAAAAAAAAAAAAAAAAGCATAATCACCCCAGTAAAGCATCTGGGAAAATGGTTTCAGAAATAAAGAATAAAAGAAAAAACATTAAATGATGGTGACATGTATAAATCTGCTACTTGGTGGAAGCCATTTTCTCTTCAAAGTTACCCTGAATGAACCAGGAAATACCTTTATATATGGACAGGAAGCTAGAACACTCTCCTTTTTGAGCCAAAATGAAGCAGCTCTGTAGATACTCACAATAGTTAATTTCTACACAGTTACAAACTAGAACCTCCTCTGTGTGAGATGTGGAAGATAAAACCTCTCTTTCCAAGTGAGAAGCAAGGGCCTGTACTCTCTTGAACACAGTGTGATCTGGAGAAAGACAGGGGTACTTACAGATATCTAGGTTTTCCAGGTTTTTAAGAAATTCAGAATATGAGAACTGACAATATGGCCACATATATAAAATACCCCAAAACATGGGATTTAAAGAGTATTTGTTTCTTCCAAAGGATAAGGACAATAGCTGGGTAGGCCTGGGCTTCCACTGCACCCATAAAGGGAAGAGAAAATGAAAACATATTTGAATGTCCAATTTTCTGACTAGGAATCTAAGAACACTGAGAAAGTTCATAAAGGCTTTACAGTGAAAGAATTCTTGAGAGCACAGCTCAAGAATCAAGTAAAATGAAGAAAAAGTAATAGATAGTAAGCAATCTAGAGGTCCTTGGCTGACTTAATTGGCTGAATTTAAAATGATTTCCACCATGACAGTTTATACAATGAAATGAAGAAGGACCTTCCCATACTATAGAAGTCTATTATTTCCTGGCCTCACCCTACCCAATACATCCTATCACTTTTTATTCCCATCAGAATGGAGAAGCTGCCATAAAAAATAAAGTCTGATCAATTTCTCCATTGCCTGACCTCAACTTTAATATCTAAGTACTCCTTGTTTGACCAAAGACGAAAAAGCCAGAACAATCTTACTATTCAAAAGCCAAACAAAACATCAGAATTTTTCTCTATCTGAAAATTTCAATTTCATTCTACTCCTGTCAACTATGAAAAAATGTCACATGCTTATCTTACTGTAACAAAGAAGGGGAAAAATTAAATATAAAGTACGTAAATCTGAAAGCCAAAAAGGTAAAAAACAATAGTTTTGGGAAGTGGAGATCAAGGCTCATTTAAAGAAAAGAAAAAAAAAAAAAGTGTGCTCAATCAATAGAGTACCTGCTTTGCAAGCACGAATCCCTAAATTCAAATCCCAGTCCCACCAAAAAAAGTGGGGGGGGGGGGGCTGGGACTGTAGCTCAGTGACTTACTGTTTGCCCAGCATGCACAAGGCTCTGGGTTCAATCCCCAGTATCACAAAACAAACAAACAACAAAAAAAAGCATTCATACCAGAAGGGCAGAGAAATATTTTCATGAGATTAGAAATGTTTAATAGGGCTGAGGGTGTTGCTCAAATAGTAGAGAGCCTGCCTAGCCAGCACAAGGCCCTGAGTTCAAACTCCAATATTGCAAAAGTGAAAAAAAAAGTTTAAGATGAAACAGTGGGGACACCAGTTATCATTTGCTTCACATGGAAGTTTAAAGGGGTTCATTTTGATTCAATATGAAATCAAATCAGTTGATTGATTGTTCTTGAGATAGCCCTTGGCAAAAACATTGAAACTGACTGCTACTCCCAAAACCCCTTCTACTTGACTGTGTGGTTCACAGGACCTAAGATAAGTAAATCCTAAATATCAAGTGAAAACATATATGCTCTAGAGAGGACAACTGACAGAATAGCAAACAGCACTTAGCAACTAGACTACTCCAAAGAGTATTGGACTATCAAAGACATCTTTATCTGGGAATCTGAGAATAAAAAAACAGCAGAATTAAAATTAAGCAGAAAATTCAATATTCTAAATATTAATTTCACTGCTTTATACTTAAGAATGTCTCATGTTAGAGAGGAAAGTTCAAAACTTATAAATAAAATTGTGCCTGATGGGAAGCTAGGATGACCAGAACATTAAGTGAGGGTCTTTAAAGCAGTATCTAAAACCATGCTGTTGAGCATGCAAAACTTATTAACAGAGAATCTAGGTTCTCTAATAACTAACCATAAATATTACTAATGTTCCTCTAAATCACTTGCTATAGCCTCCGGGTTACCCCTTCTCCCATTCAGAACACTTAAAACTATCCTTAAAAAGGGAAGCAGCAGAACAGAATTTCAGTACTGTTTCTATAGCATTTAAGAACATGCAGCATATTCAGTCAAGCTGTATCAATTCTAAGAGCAAACACTTTTACCTTCCACCTACAATAAGAAAGAAATTACATTTCATCATTTGAAATGTGAAGTATTCACCCAAGCCCCAAAGGAGATGGCAGATGAAAAAGAAAAATAAAGAAAGCAGATGGATGGAAAACTCAGAAGGAAAGGAAGGCAGGGGTCTGCATGCCATTAACCATTACTTTTCCAGTCTTCTTTAAGTTCGCATATGTTATGGTGCTTATGGTAAAAGATGTAGAGAAACCTCTCCAGCTCTTATAGTTCTTCATAAGCAAGAAGACTGAGAAAAGGGTAATCATTAATAAGTCATTTTAAATGCTCTGGATAAGAAATGGCTAAATTGAATTTGTAATCATCTTAAATTGTAAGAATATTTGATATGTTCACTTTTCCCTTTCTATACACTCTGTCAGTTATAACCCCTATGCCTAAATATAGAATCAATTTCTGATTTAGCCATTTTCTGCACATTACTGTGAATTATTGCTTATATTCAACAAATTATAAAAAGAACAGCAGCTTACAATTGGTAGTGCTTTAGGCCATTTGCAAACATTACAATTTCAAGCATGGAAGAAAATCTCATGAGAAACTCTAAGTTTCTAATATTTAAGGGTGCTCACCTTTTTGCACATCATCACTTTAAAGGGTCTCACTATGTAGCTCAGACTAACCTTGATCTAGCTTTGTAGGCCAAGGTTGATTTCAAACTCAAGATCCTCCTGCCTATGTCTGAATGCTAAGTTACAGGTGTGTACCACCATGCCTGCCTCCTCTGCACTATTTAAATGTGCACTTGCATGCACAGATGCAACCACTCTGTGAGGTCTCTGATCATGGCAGCAACACCTGAGATTGCTACTTGGCAGCAACAGGGCTTATGGAAAGGGGCCTGACTGAGGCTATGAAATCGTGGCAAGAATGGGCAGGGTACTGATTGTGCACTTGCGAGAGAAAAAGCAGAGTGGTTCTTGCCAGAAGGTACTAGGAATGAAAGGGGATTGGTGGCAAAAGCAGTGGGAGAGACTCTCACAGCCAAGGTCTCATGCTCAAAAACAGCAAGAGCAAAAGGTTTTGTGTTCACCATGGAAAAGGCATGAAAGTCATGAAGACTGGAGTCTGCATTCTTAGGACTTAGTAATCACAAAGTAAAATCTCTAACTTTCATCTTTCCAAGTACTACTTTCTTTTATTTTCACTTTTCTTTTTTCTTTTTCATGGTACTGGGGTTTGAACTCAGGGCCTTACACTTGCTAGGCAGGAACTCTGCCACTTGACGCATGCTCCCAACCCGTTTGCTTTAGTGATTTCTCAGGCAGGGTCTCAAACTCCCTGCCCAGGTGGGCTTGAACCTCAAGCCTCCAGATCTCCACTTCCTAGGTAGCTGGAACTACAGCTGTGTACCACAACACCTGGCTTTGTGGCTTTTTTTTTTTTTTTTTTGGAGACATGGTTTCACTATGCAGCCCAGGCTGACCTCAAACTTTGTTGTTTTTTTTTTTGTAGTACTTGGGCTTGAACTCAGGGCCTTCGCCTTCACCCACTCCACCAGTCCTATTTTTGTGAAGGGTTTTTCAATATAGGGTCTTTCAGAACTATTTGCCTGGGCTGACTTCGAACCACGATCCGCCTGATCTCTGCCTCCTGAGTATCTAGGATTACAGACGTGTGCCACCAGTGCCCAGCTGGCCTCAAACTTTTGATCCTCTTGTCTCAGCCTCCCAAAGGCTGGGATTTAAAGGTATGCAACCAGCTGGGTCCTGGAGGCTCACACCTATAATCCTAGCTGATCATGAGGAGGATCTCAGTTCAAAGCCAGCCTGGCAAGTAGTTGGCAAGACCCTACCTCAAAAATCCCATCACAAAAAAGGGCTGGTGGAGGGGCTCAAGGTGCTGGTCCTGAGATCAAGCCCCAGTACCACAAAGAAAAAAAAAAAAAAGGTGTGCACCACCACACCCAACTTAGAAAATTAATAGCTTAAATAACTATTTCCCATAAGGGAGCCCATTTGTTGGTCTTTATTCAGAATTTCTTGCAAAAGGAACAACCAACAGGGAGCTTACTTCAATTCTTAATCTCAGGAGATCATGAAATGCTTTCTTTCTTTCTGTCTCTCTCAGAGATACTGAGGTTTGAACTCAAGGCTTCACATATGCTAGGCAGGCACTCTACCACTTGAGACATTCTGATAGCCCCCCTCTTTTTTTTTTTTAAATTGATACAGGGTCTTGCCATGTAGCCCAGGCTGGCCTTGAACTCAAGATCTTCCTCAGTCTTCTGTGTGCTGGGATTACAGGTGATGAAACACATCCCAGCAACATCACAGCAGGAAACTGAAGGGCATTATCAAAAGGGGAAAAGCCAGACATGGTGAATATCTGTAATCACAGCACTTGGGAGGCTGAGGCAAAAGGATCACAAGTTCAAGGCTAGCTTGGGCTACACAGCAAGACCCTTATCTCAAGAAAACGGACGGGGAGAGGGTAACTGATAGTAAAAAGTTCCAAATGATGCTAAAAGTAGCTGAGCTAACCCTGAGGGCAGGAATACATCAGACTTGTGTCCAAGCAGCAGCTTGGACACATTTAGAAAAGCACACATCTGTGAGCATAAGGAGCACGATATTCAGGGATATTTCTTTATATAATTAAATGAGAAATTCCTTGAACACAGGAACCATGTCTTATACAACTTGTGCCTCACAAACAGTAGGTGCTCCTTAGATACTTGGGGAATTAATGGGTAAGTATACAATAACGTTTAGGCAGTGAACATAGTGAAATTCCACACTATTTGTTCATTACAACCATATGGCATGAGTGGCTACGCCTGTTGCAAAAGATCTTAAAACACTTGGAAAGAGTTAATCACACTGCCCCACACCCTCTAATGTGATGACACACACTAGTGAAAGACACTACACCAGTCTCAGAATTCTCAACTTGGTGAGCACACTGAGTACTCACACAAAACCTCTACTGATGTATAACCAGATTCTGATTCTTGGGAAGACCCAGCAATTCAATTCAGATGAGCTTTTCTCTTTTCTTCCCTCCACAGACCTTTTTAATTACCACAGTTTCTCTGAGTCAAATCTGTAGTTACTGAGGAATGTATCACATCCTCAGCAGATTTTCTCTAGACTAATGTTTTTGAAAACTATCATGCCTCAGAATCACCTGTTAAAACAGATGGCTGGGCCCCACCCCAGGGTTTCTGACTCAGTAGGTCTGGGGTGGACACTGATAATTTGTATTTCTGACAAAGTCCCACATAAGACTGTTGCTGCTGGTTGGAGAATCCCTGCTCCAACAGACAAATGGTCTCTTCTCCAGAGACAGAAATTAAAAGTAAAACATAACTAGATGTTAACTGAAATGGGCCCTCTATCTTTAAAATCTTAACCAAGTTTTTTTTTTTTTTTTTTTTTAATTAAAAAAGGCAAAGGAAGTCAGGCGCTGGTGGCTCACAACTGTAATCCTAGCTACTCAGGAGGGAGAGATCAGGAGGATCAAGGTCCAGCCCTGACAAATAGTTCTGGAGACCGTATCTTGAAAATACCTAACATGAAAAGGGTTGGTGGAGTGGCTCAAGGTGTAGGCCCTGAGTTCAAACCCCAGTACTGAAAAAAAAAAAAAAGGCAAAGGACATAAACTTTAGGGAAGGCAACAACCTCTGCAGTGTCTAATGTTTCTCATGATGGCAAAGACCTGACTCCAGGCCGTCAGAAAAACCACATACAGGGTGAAACTTAATACTTCTTCCCAGGTTTGTCTGTTTGTTTATTCTTATTCTTTTCCTTCCCAGGTTTAATTGGCAGAAGAAGCCTGACACTAAGTCCTTTCAAGGGGGTCACCTCAGAAACCTGTCATCTGGCAACTTAAGTTACCTATTTAGCCCAGGAACTTAGTAACATTTTTCCTCATAAGGTGATGAAGTTGTGTTTTTATAGAAATCCAAATAAGCATCCTTCCAATATCTCATGACACAATGAAAAACTCTTAGAAATGTGATGTGTGCTATCTAGTGTACTGAAAAATGTGCTCAAAGGTTGATAAATGAACACAAAGAATAAATTAAATTTTGATGACAAAAGATTTAGAGATTAAATCTTTGTTATAATTTTTTTTTGAGATTTAAATCTTTGGTATAATTTTGTGTAGAACCAGATGTTTGTTTCTTCAACTTTAACCTTAAGTACATACTTACCTTACCATATATATTTATATATATATATAAAAACGCAAAACTTTTCACTAACTACATTTATTCAATGACTATAGGGCTCCTTTCCCCATCTTGAGATGAAAATTTGCAGGAAATGTGAAAATATACCAAACCATGGCTGACTGTGTACTGCATGAAAAATGGAACATAATCTGACATTTCTTCAACTAAAACAGGGTGCAAAAATGGTATTGCTTCCAAACTAGCAAATTAAAATAATTATTGGAATAAAACTATGGCCCATGTGTGTAGGTGTAGTATCAGCTGCTCAAACACTAGAAGAAACAATAGTCTGACCTCATCAAAAAACTGCTGAGTTTTGCGAAGTATAAATTTTAATTCAGTTAGTTCCAGGAAATTTCTCTTCAGAGCTTCCTGGTTTGTGTTGATTTCCTTCAGTTCATTTTCAATCTTCTCAAAATTGGCCTAAAGGAAAAAAAAAGAAAACTAAGTTCAGTATGCTTACTCTGAAAGACATTAAATGAATTCACCATACAGAACTATCCTGCTGATAGGTCAAACATAATACACCTACACAGCAAATGCTATTATTCTGCTAGACTAATTTTCTTCACGCAAATTTTTTGCTGAAGATAGTCTTTGTCTATAGATTCTATTGTACACTCAGTAAATTGCTCAAGGTATTACAGATGGACAAAATATTACAAAAAGCTCAATGACTATTCATTTAGTCTATGAGGTTAATAAATTACTAGGTAAATTGACATTAATCCCTTTATAAGGGTTCAACAGACCAATAAAACTTTTTTTTAGTAGCATATGATACTGTTTGAGATCTGTTTGATACCATAAAAAAGGAAATTCACTTCAATCCTTCCTACAAAGAACCTTACAATCAATAGACGATGTTCACAAGGTTAGCAAGAATTATTCTACTCCCCACTAACTCAGCAAGGTAATTTCTGCACTTAGGTAGGAAAAAAGTTATCTGGCTTTCTCAGAATTGTTTACCTCTAAGTCAATCATGTCCCGGGGGAAGGGAACCTCTGGGTTTTCACCAGTGTCCATAATTGGGATGTTAGCTTTTCTTATCTCTTTCTCAACAAATCCTAAAATGATAGAGTCAAAACATTTATGTCTAGTGAACATGCTGGAATTGCCATTTGAAGAAAACAAACAAGACCTAAAACCTGGTTACAAAGCATTTCATTCTAAGAAAGAAGTTTCATATTAAAAAAAAAAAAAAAAAAATGCACCTTTTTTCTCCACATCTTTCTTGTACTTCACACTCCTTAAAGCTATCCTAAACAGGATGGTCAATACATAACTGCCCGGCTTTCCTCTCCTGTTCTTAAAACTGGCCTTGCCAGGTGCCGGAGGCTCATGTCTGTAAATCCTACCTATGCAGGAGGCAGAGATCAGAAGGATCAAGGTTCAAAGCCAGCCTGGGCAAATAGTTCTCAAGCCCCATCTCGAAAAATACCTGACACAAAAGGGGCTGGTGGAGTGGCCCTGAGGTTTGAAGCCAGCCCCAGGCAGGTAGTTTGTGAGACCCTATCTCAAAAAGAATCTAACACAAAATAGGGCTGGCAGAATGGTCTAAGTGGTAGAGTGGCTGACTAGAAAGCATGAGGCCTGGAACCACAAACAAACAAACAAACAAAAAAACCTGACCTTCATTCACTTCAGCTCTCTAACCTATGTAACTGCTCCCCCAAGTCTGACAGTCCTCTTTACAGATATTATTGGCTAAGTACAACTCCATAAATCTAAATTGAAAGCAATCATTAAAGCCGGGCCCCAGTGGCCCATGCCTAGCTACTCAGGAGGCAGAGATCAGAAGAATGGCATTTTTTTGTTGTTTTTTGGGGGGAGGTGTTGGTAGCACTAGGGCTTGAACTCAGGGCCTCATGTTTGCTAGGCAGGTGCTTTACCACTTGAGCCACTTCACCAGTCCAGGATGGCAGTTTGAAGCCAGCCCAGGCAAATAGTTCACAAGACCCTATCTCAGTAACACTCAACCTAAAAAAGGGCTGGCAGAGTACCTTAAGTGGTAGAGCGCCCTCCCAGCAAGCATGAGACCCTGAGTTTAAACTCCAGTGCCGCCAAAGACATATTTTAAAAGTTCTATGAAGAAATAGCCAGTGTTTTCCGCTTGTAGCCTATTGTTTGAACAAGGTTTCTATCAAGTACTACCTGGCTCAAACTCCACAAAACCTATTTGCATATAATAATGTCATGATCACAGATTTTTTTCCTTTTTTTTCTATAATATTTTCTTGCTTTATTGAGGACTGATGTTTCTAATATACAAAAATGATTCATTATAGAAACATCACACAAGACTAAAATGCACATACGAAGCTTTCGATCCATTTCTTCACATCTTCTAACTTCATTCACAAATTTCCGCTGGAAAACATTCACATCTGGATTTAACTGAAAAATAAGAACACATGATAAAACTTCAAATATTGCATCTATTTCTTCTTCTTCTACAAGCAACATATCCTGCAAAAAAGAAAACCTAATTTCATGCCAATGTGTGTTGTAACACCAATCAAAATTGTCTGCTTATTCCATGCACACTGCTCTGGGACCAGTCACACAAGCTTAAGCTAAAACCTCCTTTCTTGCTAAAGGAACACATTCCTGGAATGGACAGCAAAGCAGTGAGTTCCCTTTTCACTACTTAAATTTTGGGAAATATATGTAATAGAAACTGATTTTTCTTCTCCCTTTCTTCCCAAAGGAGATAGAAAGCAACCTTTGCTTGTTCTTTTGCCTCAGGGTCTTCACCTTCTGGTGACAGGCTAGTTTATTCATTCACACACCATAGCTAATTTTCTTTTTTTGGGGGGTGGGGAGATGGGGCAAGTACTGGAGTTGGAACTCAGGGCCTCATCTTAGCTAGGCAGGTACTCTACCACTTGAGGTACTCCACCAGCCCTTTTTTGTGTTAGGTATTTTAGAGATAGGGTCTCGTGAACTATTTGCCCAAGGCTGGCTTCAAACCTTGATCCTCCTGATCTCTGCTCCCAAGTAGCTAGGATTATAGGCATTGAGCCACCAGCGCCCAGCTCACAGGTAATTTTCAAAGCAATGTGACAGATAATCTTTTTTTTTTTGTGGTACTGGGGCTTGAACTCAGGGTCTACACCTTGAGCCACTAAACCAGCCCTTTTTTCTGAAGGGTTTGTTTGAGATAGGGTCTTTTGGCTGGGCTGGCTTTAAACTACAATCCTCCTGATATCTGCCTCCTGAGTAGCTATGATTACAGGCCTGAGTCACCAGCACCCAGCTGTGACAGAGATTCTGGATACACACTCAAACAAAAATAAAACAAGATCCTACTTATTAAGAAGCATGTAATTGAGAGCCAGACTAGGTGATTCACACCTATAATCCTAGCTACTTGGGAAGTTGAGATTGGGAGGATTTAGGTTCAAGGCCAGCCCTGGCAAATAGATCTTGAGACTCCATCTCAAAATAACCAGACTAAAATGGGCTGGAGGTGTGGCTCAAGTAGTAGAGCTCCTGCTTTGCAAGCACAAAGCAGAAAAAAAGAAGCCACTCACAAAAAACTACGTATTATATTATTCTATTTAGAGAAACTGTCCAAAATGGGTAGAGCTACTTTAACAGAAGGTAGATTAGTAATCTCCAGGGGAAAGTGGGGTGTAAGGAGTGTGGTAGTGGAGGAAACGGTGACTGTTAAGACTACAGAGTGCCAGAAAGTTCTAAACCTGCAGAGATAGAGGCATCTAGGAATATATTAAAAACTACTGAGTTTTATACTTTAAATGGATGAATGGGATGGTACGCGAAAAAAATATGTATGTGATGTAGATATAGATATATCTCAGTAAAGCTATTTAAAAAAGAAAAAAGAACAGGAAAAACATTTAGCCATGTAATTCACAAAATTAAAAATAAAGAATATCCTCAAAAGATGAAAAAAATTCCATCATTCCATAAAATTCTGTCTTTTTTTCCCCCCATGTACTGAACTCAGGGCCTATACCAGTTCTTCTTTGAGAAGGTTTTTTTTAATATAGAGTCTCTCAAGCTATTTGCTCGGGCTGTCTTCGATCCATGATCCTCCTGATCTCTGCCTTCTGAGTAGCTAGGATTATAGGCCTGAGCCACCAATGCCCAGATTCTACATTCATTTGTGACAAGAACTTCAGAAGATAAAAAATTGAGCCAGTCGTGGTGGTTCAAGCTGGGTGCAGTAGTGTAGTCCCTATAGTCCCAGCTACTTGAAAGGCTGAAACAGGATCAGATGAGCCTAGGAGTTTCAGGCCAGCCTGAGCAACTATGAAATCACATCTCAAAAAAGGAAAAAAGAAAAAGAAATACATGTTGCTAGATATAAGAATATAGAAAAAAAAAAAAACTGTCTTTTTTTACATGAGTCAAACCCAAAAAAGTTAAATTTCAAAATGACACTAACCACAGCAACTTAAATAAATTTAACTCAGAATAAGTCTAAATAAAGATATGCAAAGACCAGGTGTGGTGATGTAAATCTATGATCCCAGTTTCTCAAGAGGCAGAAATTGGGAGCTTAAGGATTAAAGGCCAGTTTAGGCCTTTAATCTCAACCAATAAAATTAGCTACTCTGGAGGCACAGGCAAGTCCCAGGCAAAAACACAAGACCAAAAAAATAACTAGAGCAAAAAAGGGCTGAGGAGTATGACTCAAGTGGTAGAGCAGCTGCCTAGCACCCCAAGCTTAAACTCCAGTACCACCAAAAATATATATCTATACATATGCAAGATTCTTAAGGAGGAAATTTAACTACCAATAAAAATTCATGGAATTTAACAATCTGATTCTAAATTCTAAATTGAATATAGAACAAAACAGGAGCCAGTATAGCCAAGACAATTCTGATAAACAAGATGGGAGAATTTTTAACCTATAAAATATTAAACATAGCCCAGCACGGTCCATGCCTGTAATTCTAGCTACTCAGGAGGCAGAGATCGGGAGAATTGTGTTTGAGGCCAGCCCAGGCAAAAAGTTCTCAAGACCTCCATTTCAACAGAAAAAGCTAGGCATTGCGGCACAACACCTGTCATTCCAGCTACTGCAGGAAGTATAAATAGGAAGCTTGTGGTATAGGCAAAAAGCAAGACTCTATGAAAAATAATCAGAGTCAAAAAGGCTGGAGGTGTGGCTCAAGGCCTATAGTGCCTGCCTAGCAAGTGTGAAGTTCTAAGTTCAAATTCTAGTACCCCTCCCAAATCAAACCTTAGTATTATGACAATTATTGTTCTACAAGCCCAGCAATAAACCAGCCAATGGACCAGAACACAACCTAGAAACAGACCCGAAAATGTATGAAAACTTGGTATTTTAGAGATGAAATCACAAGTCATAAAATAAGGACACATCCGAAAAGTTCTGAGACAACAGGTTATTCATGGGTGTGTGGGGGGTAATAAACCTACTTCCTTTCATACAAAAATAAAGTCTAAGGAGAACAAAACCTAAGCATAAGACATACTTTTAATTTTGCAAGAAAATATAGAAAAAATGTACTTATCATATTACGATAGGGCAGGAGTTCTTTTTTGTTTTTTTTTTTTTCTGAGATAATTCTGTAAGTAGTCCAGGTCGACCTTGAATTCGAGCCTCCTGCCTCAGTCCCCCAACTACTGGGAGGATTTCTTAATTAAGACACAAAAACCACAAGCTATAAAGGAAAAGATGGGTACATTTCACTATATTAAAACTTAAAACAGGCCAGGTGCTGGTGGCTAAACCTGTAATCCTAGCTACTCAGGAAACAAAGATTTAGAGGCTTGCGGTTACAAGGCAGCCTAGGCAACCAGTTCACAAGACCCTACCTCACTAACCCTGTATGGCTACCTTAAACAAACAAAAATGACTTTTTTTTTTTTTTAAAACAAAAACAGAGAACAGGAAGGCAAAACAGGTCCCGTCTGGGGGGCTGGCACCAGTAGGAGGGGGTATAATGAAAGGGTGCACAAAGAGGAATATGGTGGAACTATTATGTACATTTCATCTATGACAATGGAAAATGCTGAAACTATTCCAGGAATGGGGGAGGGGATAAAGACGAATGATAGAGGGGATGAATTCAACTATGATATACTGAAAGAGCTTTTGTAAATGTCACAATGTACCCTAGAACAATAATAAAAAAAATTTAAATACTCAACGCAAAACAGGGCTGGCATAGTGGTTCACATGGTAGAGCACCTGCTAGCAAGTACAAGGCCCTGGGTTCAATCCCCAGTACCTCCAAAAAAAAAAAAAAAAAAAAAAGATGGGCTGGGTGTGGATGTGGCTCAAGTGGTAGAATGCCTGCCTAGCAAGTGTGAGGCCCTGAGTTCAAACCCCGTATCACCAAGCCAAGGGGAGGAAAAAAAAAAAAAAAGCCACAAACTTAAAACATATGTGCTCACTGGCCAAATTAAGAACAATTTGAGCATAAAAAGAAAACTGACAACATAGAATCATAAAGACTTAATAAATAACAGCAACAAAAATCCATGAATTGCCAATGATTCTCTGGGGGGTGGTGAGGAAAGGAGGAACAGGATGGAAGAGGGAAAAGCTCTTTATTAATGGAGAATGAGGTAAGCATAGCTCTGTGGTAGAATGCTTGTCTAACATGATCTAGTAAAATATAAAATAAACTTGCATATGATTTCAGGGTGGCTTGTGATCCCTAACTAGAGCAGACCTAAGTGCATTTTTTAAAAAAGAAAAACAAGCATGATATTAATAAATGCCTAAGAAATAATAGAATTAAAAAATCATTTTTATAAGACCACAGTAATCACTGAAATAGGAAAGAGTTGGATAAAGTACACAAAAACTATTAGGTAAAAAGGTTTGGGGAATGGGATATTCACACAACTCTCAAAAGTATCACCCCCTCCCCATTACTTATTAATCACAATGGGGTTAGATACCTTTACAATGGGAAATCCAGCAATCAATACCTTAGTCAAGCGATTGAATTTACCTTCACTAGTAATAGAACAAATGACATTATGTGCCTTCTAATATAGAGAAAGGCATACTATTATTTAAGTAGTATGCTTGCCAGAAATGTTTAACTTACAACAAATCACAAGGAAACAATCAGACAACTCTGAACCAAGAGACCTTCTGCAAACAAGTGGACTGGACTCTTCAAAAACATCAATGTGAAAGACCAAATACCAAGCTATATTCTGTGAATAGGAAAGGGAGGCTGGATTTCTCCTGGGCTACTCCTCCCTACCCCTTTCAGTGGTTCTTTATTTATAGCAGCGCCCCGTATTTCTCACTTCTCCCTTATTCCACTAACACAGGTCAAAAAAATTAAAACAAAAAAGAAAAAACAAAACCTCAAACCCAGCTTTACAGGCCATCATTTGGAACAACTAGGACAGTCAGAATATGACTATACATTACTGTATAAATATTACATTCCTTCCCTCTCTCTCTTCTTTCTTTTTCGAGACAGGCTCTCACTATGTTGTTCAAGTTGGCGTGGAACTTGTGATCCTCCCGCCTCTGCTTCCCAAGTGCTGGGATTACAGGTTTGAACTAGCATACCTGGCTTATATTTCTTTAATGTGATCGTTAGATTGTGGCTCTGAAGAAAAATATCTTTTCTTAGGTGATACATAATGAAGTGTGAAATATTTAAGGACAAAACGTCACAATGACCACACTTTATCCTCTAATAGTACAGCAGAAAAATATAAAATGTGCCGGCTGCTGGTGGCTCACACCTGTAATCCTACCTACTCAGGAGGCAGAGATCAGGAGGATCATGGTTCAAAACCAACTCCAGAAGACAGTTCCGTGAGACCCTATCTCAAAAAAACTCTTCACAAAAAAGGGCCGGTGGAGTGACTCAAGTTGTAGGTCGAGTCCCCAGTACCACCAAAAAAAAAAAAAAAATATAAATAATATAATATATATATATATATATATATATATATATATATATATATATATACACAAACACACACACACACACAAACACACAATGTGACAAAAACTGAACAATTGGTAAATCTACATAAAGCTATTCAGGCTTGAAAATTTTTCAAATTAAAAAAAATTTATAGGAAAAAAAAAAAGATAAACAAAAGGAAAAATTTTATGTAGGACAAAAGGAAAACCAAGACATAGCCTGGAAGAATTAGTAAAGGATTAGAAAAAGATTTGCATTCAGAATACATGAAGAACTTTTAAGTCAATAAGCAAAATTCAAGTGACCCAACTGAAATATAAGCAGACGAAATGTACACACTTTTCATGGAGGGGAAGCCTACATGTCCAACAAACAGATAAAAAGAAGTCAGGTGTGGTGGCGCACTCAGGATGTTGAGGCTAGGCAATGGCAAGTTCAAGGCCAGTACAGAGTAAGACCCGGTCTCCAAAAAAAAAAAAAACCCAGGAGGTTAACTTGTTTAAGGTACACTGTACCATGTCATATTCTGATATGTATGGAATTATCCCAGGGAAATCTTCTTGTATTATTAATGTACAATAAATAAATGAAATAAAATCATTTCTAAAAAAACAACAAAAAAATGATACTAACTATACTAAGGCAGAAAATGCAAGTTAAATCAGGATACCATTTCATCCTCACTGGATTGGAAATTTAAGTCTAAGCACACAGGTGCTGACACAATTGTGGACTGGCAGCACCAGTGGGAGCATGAACAGGTAGGTACTTCCATTGTGATGACACTGAGACGACAATAACAGAGCTAAAGATGCATAATCCTCAACAATATCCCCTCTTAGCTATAATCCCTATAGCAGCAGGTCCTGTGAGATCAAAAGCACAAACACGTCATTCTCATTCTCTCATGAGTGTTCAGTGAAGTTTACCAGAAGTTCATGATGCAAGGTATCACAACACACTGAATGTAGAAGCAGATATGAGATCTAGCTATCTCATATCTGTGTTCTATTAATTCAAATGATAAATTTCCAAAAATTTAGGGGTATAGTTCAGTTCAGGAGCAGAACACTTGCCTAACTAGTATTCAAGAAGCCCTGGGTTTAATCCATAGCATGCAAAAATGTATGGAAATATCACAATGAAACCCCTATGTACAACCAATATATTCTAATAAAAAATGTCAAAAATGAAACTGGGCACCTGTGCCTCACGACTAATCCTAGCTATTCAGGAGGCAGAGATTAGGAGGACTGGGGTTAGAAGCCAGCCCTGGCAAATAGTTTACAAGACCCTATCTTGAAAAAAACATCACAAAAAGGGCTGGTGGAGTGGCTCAAGTGGTTGAGTGCCTGCCTAGAAAGTATGAGGCCCTGAGTTCAAACCCCAGTGCCACCAAAAAAAAAAAAACAAAAAAAACAAAAAACAAAAACTGTCCACTGTCTCTTGGAATCTTCTCCAAGGGCCCAAAATAATGGATTACCAGTATATGTATTTATATATCTATAACTGGGTACCTCAGATTTTGTTTAATCAAAAAAAAAAAAAAAGTCCTACTGTATGGAAGAACTACAATTTTTTTTTTAAATACCATGCTGTGGATGTAAAAGAGCCCAAAGCAAAGCGAAAGGTTAGTTTGCTATCCTCCCCTGAATTCCAAGCAATTACTTTGAGTGTATATAATGATTCTCAAAGGAAGAGCTAGCAAAAACATGGAATGATTGACACAAAGCATTTTTACTTCTATGAGACAACCTGAAGCATACACTCTATTAATAAAAGATGGTGTTACGATGTTATTTTTGCAAATTAAAAACAAAACACTCATGATAAAGCATTGAGCAAAACAAGAAAAACAGTTCAGTGGTAAAGCAACTCATAACTACTTACATCTCGAAACTGAACCTTTCCGAGTTCTCCTAATTCACTGACGCAACAATAAGCAGCTTCTGATTGTAGAAATAACTGAGCCAGCGTCATCTCCTCACTCCGGAAAAGCTCCCCCATGGTGGCAAAAAAGTAGTGAACCAAGTCTGGATTTCACGACTACCTGGGGCGAAAGAGAAAAATGACTTTGGGAACTACCTAGAAGACTAAGATCAAACAACTCCCCAGTAAAACTCTTTCATTTAGCATTTTTATTTCTTCCACCCCCTGCTGACAGGTCTTTAACAATTGTTTTGAAATCTTGCTAAGAAAAATGGAAACCAGCAGTTGCAAAAGCTGTTACTGAATCCTAGACTGCAGAATGTCAGATGAAAAGTCATTACCTTTGCAGTCGACATCAGACTTGAATGACTATCTTTTGGGCAATTCAATACATAATGTACCAGTACTAAAGACAGAAACTGGGAATCTGACTTTTTACCCAGACAAAATATTATGAAGTAGTGATATTCACACTACCTGTGGTTTTGTTGTTTTTACTTTTGTTCTTTTATTTGAGCAAAGCAAAGAAAAAAAGGTGATTACTCTCTAATAAAAGATGACTTCATTGTAACTCATTTTCTCCCCTCTACTGATAATGCCCATTTCCAACAGCCAAAAACCCAGCACTATTCAAAAGCTACGGCTACATTAAAACACCATTTCTCCACTAAGGAATTCAAACAAGCAACCATTATCTTTTTCAAAAGTGGCCACCTTGCATATTACACTCAATTTCAGATCATGCATGACAGGAACACATAAGTAATGACAAAGCAGTTTTAACAAGCCAAGCTTTCCACCTCTGCAGCTTTCTGCTTCTCATCCCCATCTTCAAGATATTTACATTCTTCTGTACATTGAAATCTTCTCATGCATAAGCCACTAAAGGTTTCGATTTATATCTGTTTTACTGTAGCCCGGTATGAAAGACAACTGGCGCTATCAGTGGTCCTGAAACTAAGATTATTTTTTCTCAATTGACTAGTACAAGACACAGACTGTACGGTATCTAACCTTAGCAAAACAGACACCATTTTTAATGTCATAAGGTAGCCTGTATTCCATATCGATAGATGAGACTTCAAAGGAAGATTTAGTCTTGGGAAAGACAGGAAGACATTTCCAGAAATCTGAATGACAAAACCTTTCTGCATTTGATGTTTAAGGGCAGCAAAACAACACATTCAGATAAGAGCAAGGCTTTCTCAAGAGATTAAGTACACTGACTTTAAGAATGTGATACTTGAATCATCCAAATCAGCTGTTACCAAATCACCCCCACCACCACACACAAACCAAACAAGGATGCATCCCACAACCTCAAAACACATGAAATTAGGCCTGATCAGCATAGTTCAGGGGCTGCCAATAATGATAGCCAATAAACCTCCAATGAGTTGCCTCTCTCCTCCTGTTCTTTAATGATTACAGGTCTCTCTAGAATATATCTGCCCCCACCGAAGGCAACCAAAAAACGAATTTGGCCAAAGCAGTTTCGGGGGGAAGGGGAGATGGTCACATAATGAAAGATGAAACAGATGCAATTCTACAAAATAAGTCCAAATACAGCTCCCCTGCGCCCCTCTGCACTTCTACCTTCAGGAGTCTTGCTCCTCGCTTCCTAGCAATATTCACCTGCTTCATTTCCTATCCCGGTGAGAAAGCAGGAATTCTCCAGACCCAGGCACACCTATACCCTGACGGGGAGAAATCCCCAAACTGGAAGAGCCCGTAACACTCCCCCTCCCCCAATTCTTCTGCCTACTCAATAACCTTGAATCCTTTCGTTTCCCCTTTACATCGCGTCCTCCAAAGGGCAGTAAACCTCCGGTTCCTCTGCCCACGGTAGGGGGTACGCAGAGAGGGGGGCAAGCCCCCATTTTCTCCCAGGGACTTGCCATTTTTTCTTTCACCAGCGAGACTGATATTAGGAGTCCCTGCGTGCCTCGAAGGTCACTCTCGGACGCACTACACCTACAACCCTCGCTCACCTCCCACCGCCGGCCCAACCGCCGCCACAGCAGTCGCCGCAACAAAACCCACGACCTCCGCGGCTCCGGGCAGCAGCGCTCGACGTGCATGCGTCAGCAAGACCACGCCCCCACCATGACCTCATCACAGTTGGCCAATAGGGTGCTGCCTCGCCCGGACTGCCGCAGTGCGGAGTCACAGGGGCGTGGGCGAGTTCCACCGTCCTGACGCCATCTTGGTTTCAGGGCTGTGCATCCCAGGGTTGAGGGGCGGGGCTGGTGGTGCTGGTTTTGGAAGCTTTTAGTCCCTGAGCATTTCAGAAGCCTTTCTCCCTATCCCTCCTTCCTAACACTTACCCTTCAGGCAAGGTTGTGTGCCCTCCCTATTTTCCAAAAAACGGATACACAGCTTTTTCTCCTTGAGGAAACGTAGCATGAAGGAAGGGGAGAGATCATAATGAAATGACCTGAGACACACTCCCTGCGTTGTGAGAGGACCTGGGAGCTGGAGGGGAGTTTGACAGTGCATCCAGCCCAGACTTCTCTACACACATACCCTCAGTAATTATTTTATGGATGAGGACGTTTTAGTCCCAGACTTGGGGATGATTTGTTTAAGGTAGATCCCATAGTACAACCTTATACAGCGTCCGATCCACTTAAACGGGGAAACTTCGCTTTGAAAAGCTGCATGATTCCTTCCGTCCAGCAACTGGCCAGAGTATACCTTTCTTTTCTGAGGAAAAACCTCATTAGACCATATGTTGTGAAAGTAACTTCTTAAATCTTGTTTGCTAGCTGCCTATGGCCCCATTTGACCACTTAGGGGTTTTCGTTTCCTCAAAGTCGTTAAAAGAATGATAATTTTTCAATGCAAAGATATGCCTATCGTTTTCTAAAAATGCCTTTCTCAAATAGTAATGATGATTCCCTTTTCTTAATCTGTCTGTTAAAGCAGAGGAGGGCTCCCAGGTCGTTTGAAATAAATCCAGGTCATTTGTAATAACCTGAATCACATCATGTACACTTTGGAGAACTGGTTATTCGGTGTCTGTGGGTGGTGGAACTCGACTGAGATGCAAGTGTAATGAGGGAGATCTTTCAGATTTTAAAAAAAGCCAAAACAAAACAAAAACTGATGCTGATAATTTTGTCTGCCTGGCAAAAACAACCCTATTTTACTAGCCTGAATGAAATAGTGAAGGACAAAAATGGAATTTTACTTGAATTTTCTATCTCATAAGTGAATTAGGCTATAACCTCATTATAGTTTTCTTGAGAAGCGGTGTCATAGAGAGACCGACTCTCACTTTTCCCTGCATCCTAGCTCTCTCAACTTTCAAGGCAATTCAGATAGAGACCTACATTTGAAAACCTGCCAAGTTTGGGAAAACTTTTACACAATGACTATCACTTCCTTCCTCATAGACTTAAAAAAAAAACCACCTCAGTCAGCTGCTTGCTAACCACAAATTTTTCATACCTTTAAAACAGCCTTTCCTCTGGTCTCAGTTCAGTTCCCTTTAACTCTCTTCAGGGTTTCCTTGAAAGTACATTGTTTCAAAGCTCCTTTCTTTTTCCTTTCATCTCCTGCCATCAGTCTTTTCCCAGTGTTCTATTTCTTTTCCCTCTCTGCTGTCTTCCTTGGCCATCTTGCCTATTGCCAGACTTAAATTTCTAAACTGCCTGCTGAATAATGCCTCTTAGGCAACAAATACTTGTTGAGACCTACTATGTGCCAGACACCATACTAGGTACTGGAAATATGAAAAGTAAATAGACATACTATATATCCTAGAAGAGTCCACATTTCCTTGAGAGATAGAATTCCAAGAATCACAAGAGAGAGAGAGATGAATTAGTTCAATGATTAATACTTTGCTATGTGCCAGGGATTTTTCTAAGTGATTTGTAAATATCAACTCATTTAATTCTCACATCTCATTTAATTCAACTCATTTAATATAACCTGAGGAGTTATATATATTCATTTAACAGAGACTATGGAAGAATTGAGAACTTTGTCCATCAAAAGCAAATTGTAAATGCCGTTAGGGCTTGGAGTGTAGCTCAGTGGTAGAACATGTGCTTAACAGGCACAAGGTTCTGGGGTTCAATCCCCAACAGGGGTGGTTAGAACATGTGCTTAACAGGCACAAGGTTCTGGGGTTCAATCCCCAACAGGGGGTGAAAAAATGCTTTTAAGGCCAAGTAAAATGACATCTACCTATAGTTCCAGCTATTCCAGAGGCTGAAGCCCAGGAATTTGAGGCCAGCCTGGGCAACATAGTGCAATCTAATCTCACACACTGACATTAATAAATAATAAAATACTATTGACTACACTTATAACCCTAGAAGATGTGAGCAATTCCGTGGGAGGCTTAGCCAGTAACACAGTGTCTAAACAGAGATATTTCTTAGCATTTGTGAAGTGCTTTTTTTTTTTTGTACATTTGTGAAAATATCTAAAGAACAGTTGATTAGTTGTTTACTACCAAAACCAAGTAGAGAACAGAGCTAGGGATAGAACTGAGCTGGGCACTGATGGCTGGTGCCTATAATCCTAGCTGCTCAGAAGGCAGAGATCAGGAAGATCTTGGTTTGAAGCCACCTCAAGCAAATAGCTTGAGAGACCCTATCTTGAAAAAACCAAGCACAAAAAGGGCTAGTGGAGTTGTTTAAGGTGTAGGCCCTGAGTTCAAACCCCAGTAACACACACACACACACACACACACACACAAAGTTAAAATTGTCTATGTAGTGAAGGGCTAAAATAAGTGTAGGGGTTTTTTGTTTGTTTGCTTGCTTTTTCCTATCTCTTTTCTTCTTCTTCTTTTTCTTCTTCTTTTTTTTTTGTGTGTGTGGTATTGGAGCATGAACTCACACTTGCAAGATAGGTGGTTCACACTTGAGCCACTCCATCAGCCCTTTTTGAGGTAGAGAGCCACTGTCACCAAGCCCTTATGTCTTTTCTTTCTCTTTATTTTTTAGTTTGAATGAATCTGGTACAATTGTCCAGATTTCTACCAGTGAAGAGTTAGTTCCTGTTTGCTCATTGAACTTAAACTTCTAGATGGGGCCAGAGGAGAGTAATAAAGTTAAACCAAGTGTTTCAAAATACAGTATTTGCTCAAGTGTCACTCTTTTCTGTATGATTCCTGTATTACTTTCCTAGGGCTGCCATAATGACCATAGACTGAGTGGCTTGAAACAATAGAAATTTATTCTGTCCGACTCCTGGAAGCTAAAAGTTTGAAATAAAGGCCTTGATACTTCTGAAGCCTGTCGGAAAGAATCCTTCCTGTGTTTTCCTGGCTTCTGGGAATTGCTGGAGATCTATGGTGTTCCTTGGCTTGTAGATACATCACTCCAATTGCTACTTGTCTTCACATGGCATTCTTTGTGTGTATTTGTGCGTCAAAATTTCTCTCTTTTTAAAGAGACCCCAGTCATTGGATTACAGCCCATCTCTATCCAATATGACCTTATACTAACTTGATTATATCTGCAAATACCCTATTCCTAAATAAAGTCACATTCTCAGGTTCTGGTTAGATGTGATTTTGGGGGGGACAATATTCAACCCAGTACATCTCCCTTATTAACTTGGAGAAGGAAATTTTTCTCTGCACAGTTTTCCAGCTGCAAGTGGTGGCAGCAGAAATGTGTGGCAATTGTCCAACTGTCTACCAGTGAAGAGTTAGCTTCTGTTTGCTCACTGAACTTAGATTTCTAGATGGGGCCTGCAGGAGAGTAATGAAGTTAAACCAAGTGTTTTGAAATACAATATTTGCTTTAAATTAATTTTTTATTTAAGTTTTACTTCTGGTTTTCCATATTTTTGAGAGGACAGTAATTAGGTTCAATGATTGCCAGTGTCTAGGAAAATATTTTTTAAATGTTTTCCTTTTATTTGTAAATGAATTCTAATTAATTCTTCATCTGTTCTATCAAGAATCTAAGTGTTAGATGACAAAATTCTATTACAACTTTGATATAACTTTTGACCATTGTTCTTAAAATGTTGATTAGCAGATTGCTTCTACAGAAGTCGTCCCTTTCATAATTTCACTTGAGTTCCTCAAAATAACACTTCTGCTTTTGTTTCAAAGTCTGAGAATGTTTACAGTAAAGGTCTTTTGGCAAAAAGCAAAAACTTCTTCATAATAGCTTTGAGCCTTCCTTTGAAGCTAAAAGAAGGTCAATTTCCTCTAGCTCTACTAATGATTTTATGGACAAGAAGATAAGAATGAGCCTAAGGCATGTGATATTTTATGCAACCCTTGTGAATCTTGTGACAGACACGTGAGGCAGGAGACATTTAGCTTGTGGGAATTAAGAATGCAGATTAAAAAAAAAATGAAGATAAATGAACTGTCCCTGCCCTCACTCCCCCCCACCCCCCCACTCCCCACCCACCCACACACATTGTTGGGGCAAAGCTCAAAAATATGGAAAACCAGAAGTAAAACTTTAAATAAAAAGTTAATTTAAAGCAAATTGCTTAAAGGTCCAGTACCAGCCAAAAAAAAGTGCTATGCACACAGGCTTCCTAAAGAAAATGTGAGAAGGCTTGAAATAGGAAGAAGGAAAAGGATGGAGTGACAGAGGGCAGAGAAGAAGCCTTTGTGACATTAAACCTGAAATACTTGCCCGGGAAAATGAGAAACTCATTTTCAAGATTTCTGAAGTGAGCAATCTGGTAATGTATCTGTATTGTGTTTCTAGTGATTTGAAGAAAGATGAGGCCTGAAGCAAAGAACTACACTAGAATATTCCAGAAAATATTCCAGAAAAGAGCTAATGGATTCAGTGGTGGGCACAAAACCCCAAGAGGGGAAGGGACCCTTCTGTTTCCTTTACCTTGTAGTTCCACTGCCTCTCCTAGTGGCTGGCATTCGGTACATACTTAATAAACTACATGCTACGCAAATGCTCCACCACTGAGTTACATTCCCAATAATAAACATTTTTGTAAGAAAGAAAACAAAACTGGGAATGTAGTTTCTTGTGACAAACAAATGTGGGTTATTTGCATTTGTAATCACGTGAATATATTTTTTTGTTTTGTTTTGCAGTACTGGGGCTTGAACTCAGGGCC